TGAAGGCGTCATTGAAACATAACGTCATTGATCCCTTCAGTAGGGAGAAGAGACACAGCGAGGCAAAACTGAGAGCACTCTTGTAAAAAGAAGTCTCAACAAGTCTCTGGAGAGAAACACCTTCAACATGTTCAGCGTACAGTAAGAAATATGTGTTCTTGATTACTTTGTGAGGCAAAATTATGGGAATTGAATTAAGACATTCAGAAAATTTTAAATATTGAAAGCGCACAACAAAATAATCAGGTAGAGAATACGTGAACTATGGACGTAGCAAGTGGCTAAGCAGTTATTTTTTATACACCATTAAGAGATCGCTTGGAAATTTGATCATGTTGCTGAGATGGCAATGATGGTTGTCTCATGATATTGTGTTATTTTTTTCAAGATAATGAGGCTATTTGTCAGGAGGAAAAGGCTATGTGTCCTTGAGATAAGAGTATATGGAAAACACCTGATTTCAGCCATCAAGATCATTTAAATAACTCTAATTTATGACTTATCTTTTCCTTAAAAAGTAAATCTCCAAGATCTTAATTTGGTGCTCTTTGGCATCACCCAATGAGCTTGTGATGAACTATGATTGCATTTATTCATGGCTGCTGAAAAATGTAGATTTATCCTGATTGCCTCGTTTGTACATAGCCATGCAGTTTGGTTCAGTTATTTTTCTGTAGGTTCAATATATTGAAATGTGAAACTTCTACTTTTCCAGGATAAAAACAATGAGATTGTATTTGTGTTGAAACTTGAATAATTATGCTTGGGAAATTTCCCCCAGCTCTGCTATACAAGCCCTAACTGTCTTTTTGAACTTTTGACAGCCATAGTGATCCAACTCCAATGGCTAAAATGGATTACCCACGACCCAAACCGCTGAGAATTGCACGCTCAATGTTTATTCCACCAGACTTCAACAACCAAAGGTAGGCATAGCTGCTTTGCAGCATTCTGCACTGACATGCCACTCCCTGTTGGGAAATCAACAACCAGAGGAGTCAAACATTGGCAAATATACAGAAACAACCATAAAGAGACACCTCATAAAGATATGAATATATCCATTGCTATTATTAGACAACAGTAACATGTTTTAACTACTGCCAACTGTGCCAAGCCAAATGTTATTATTGTTACAAGATGGTCAAGGTTTGAATTAAGTCTGAAATTACTTTTAAAGATTAAATAAACAATTTTAAAATATTTAAATATGACTGGGTGTGAAGCACAATGAACCTTTCCTGTCCTGCTGGATATCACACCGTACAGACTCTAAATATACATTTAAAATCTGTACTGGAGAGTATCTGGATTTTAGAATTTGAAGTGTTCTGGTTTCTGTTTGTACTCTGATAAGTATCGTCCAATCACGTATCAGAAGGCGCTGGAGTATACAGGAAAAACAACCTGTTAGGCAAAATACAATCTACCATTTTGACATCCAGACTCCCATCAGTGGTAATCTGATGATGATTTATTTATCTCCGTAGACAGATATCTACATCAATCTGTTCTAATTCAAATATTTAGATTAGAGTCGCAAAAGCCACTCAGCGTTTAGATTTTCCCACTTCAAGAAATTAGTCAGAAATCATTTATCCAACCTCCATTCAACTAGCAAACACTTTAAATGTTTTTTTTTCTTCTCCTCGTAAGGACAGACATTGACTTTTTATCAAATCTGCATCAATGTCTTTATTTCTGTTAACAAAACACCCATTAATTGGAGGTGTTTCACAAGAAATCCGTTAATTTTTCAAAGTCATACAGCTGAAGTAATCCAGAGTGAAGCCCCCGTGTGACTTATTATCTACAGTTATACTGAGACTCACCAAAAACAGATGATCCTCCTCCAGGGGATTAACCAACCACTTCCCTGGTTTTTGTCAGGCCTTAAGAGCCGGGTTATGACAATTGTCACACAACGTGGCTAAGGTCAGAAAAATATGGCAGTGAACTGTCATGAACAGAATGCTCTACCTGAAAATAATCATCTCTGTTTATACCGTCCAGGCCGACAGCTCCTCATTTCCAGAATACCGGTGTCCCCAAATACCCTCCACCCCGGCCACACCCGGACTATGACAACATGGAGAACACTACAGGGTCCAAACGGAAAAGTTTGTTCTCCAATGCGCTTAGTGATCTCGCCAAGAAAATGAAAATAAGATCTCATAGAGGATGACGTAAAATAAAATTGGGGTACAACGGGGTGCTGTGTTGATTTTTGATGTATGAGCTCATCGTCTACCTTTGTGGATTTACCACAGAAGAAGTTACAGTATGACCAACTTTAGGAAACATTAAAGACCTTTTTGATTGTTAGAAATGGATCTTCAAATGCTGATATTCCACATTGACCGTTCAAATTACGATTGTGGAAATCTTTATTTTCACTTTACACATCCAAATTAAATATTTTAATTGTGGCTTATCAGACATGTCTCAAATACTAATTTGGATCGTCATCCTTCAGCTCTTTGAAATTCAAAGGTAGATATCTGTGTTTGTTCTTCCACGAGGTAAAAGGAAATCACTGATCTGTGAATCAGTATTTATCAGTCTATTTGTGATAGCTGCACGCTAACAGTCCTTTGATTCTGACGTTCTTTGAAAAGAGTTGAAGACATTTTGAATAATTCAATAATATTTGTTGTTATTGTTACAGATAAAAATTTTGCTGGTGTTTGTATGGCAGAAATCTGAAATGGTTACTCCTGTGTAGTCCAATAAGGTGCAATTTAAGAAATCATATAAACATCCTATGATTTTGACAAATCAGTTTCATTGTAGAAAATTAATTTAAGATATTTGTAACATTTTAACTGCAGTATATTTCTTAAATTATCATTAAATAGTTAGAATCAAATTGTCAATAAGAAATGAGATGTTAAAGGGGACATATTGGGAAAAATCAAATTTTACAGTGTTTTTGAGCGTCTACCGACCCACAAAATGTGAAATAAACCCATCCAGTCCTTTGTTTGTGGTCTGCATAAGCTTTACAACACAGAGAAAAATGCTCTGTTTTTTAATTGTTCTGTTATTGTGTCAGTTCTTTTTGTGTGTTTGTCTCTATGTTAAACATGAGTAGCATTTATATCTATATCCTCTGGCTGTAACGGATCTCTGTGGCAAAATTTTATTTTTGTTTTTGTTTCCAAACATTGTCCTCACGTTTTCTTCTCTTGAGAAATGTCATTTTTTACTTTTTATTATTTTTTACATTGTATGAATTATGATGTATGATCCGTTTATGACTCAACATTATGACGTCAATAAAATTAATGGGGGTGTATTGCACTTCCAGGTGTAATCAAACAATGATGTCATCCTTGCTGCTTTCAAGACAAACATGACGTCACTTTTCACTTCCAATTTCAGAAAAATATAGGCTATATTTTTTCCATCTGATATCAGCTTTAGCTTTTCTCTCTGTGTTATATTTATGTTGCGCTAAAATGAATGACAAAGCAGATGTGTTAATTTTGTGCTATGGTGAGGTCTTATTGTTAAAGCCGAGAAATAAATAAATAATGATCAAAAAAGTTCCATCATCACTTCCTCCAACGTGAGCAGGGAAATCATGTCAGTAGCACACAAGAGGAGGAAGACGAGGATGAAGATTATCTTTAAGTATTATTTTAGATAAGAGATTTAAGATAATCTCTATTTTCTTATGCATGGTGTTGAAATAGTCAAGACGCTCGTTAAAGTAGTGTTTAATATGGATTTTTAATGTAATTATCGGCTTATTTATTTATTTTAGGTTGCAAAATGTGTGTCATTGTCCGTGCTCCACTTCCGGATCAGCAGCTGGTCCTGGGTCGGTTTTTATCCTCGGGGTTTGCGACCCTCCAATCAGGAGAGACTGACTCCAGATCAGCTGTCAGTGCTCGACTTTGCCTTCTCGTCTCCTCCAATCAGAGCCGCGCAGTTGGCCCTGGCGTAAGTGTGTCAGGCAGGCGTCAAGCTCCACGGAGTCAGAAAGAAATGCACAAGAAGTCCATCCGTGCTTTAGAAATATAAGTCTTAAAGGGATGAAACGAAGTGAAATTATACACAAATAATCATAAAAAATATATATTACTCGCCTGAACAAGATTATAGTTTCATAATATTACATTCTAGCACTAACATTTTGTCTGTTTTGAGCAGAGTTTTCTTTACGTTACTCATCCATACTTTTTATGTCCCTCAGTTTTACCGTGAGATTCAGTTATCATCTCGTTATGTTAGGAAAAAAAGTCGCTGGTTCTCCAGACTGTAATTATTAATGGACGAAGCCTGAGTGACGTCACCCATCTGCCACTTTAGGGGGCTCTGGAGGCTCATCAATGGTGGTCTCCATGCTGGAAATCCTGTCTCACCCTAACTTTCAGTCATTTGAACGACAGGCTGTCGCTGGAGCTGAGTTGGCTTTTAAACCTCTTGACGAACCATTGTTTGTAAACTCTCTCTTTATCATGTAATGCTTTTTATGACGTGTGCTGCTGCCCTCTTGGCCAGGTCACCCTTGTGAAAGAGATCCTGATCTCAATGGATAATTTACCTGGTTAAATACAAAAAATAAAAAAACACTGCACCCGTCTGTCAATCAATAACTCTTATGGATGAGTTATTCAGATATTCAACCCCCCTACAGAGTGTGCTGATCAGGACATGAGCTAATCAGACCCTTTTTTTGTTTTTTGAATCAGGTTGTAAACATATTAATGTTTGCTGTAAAAATGAGCTTTTTTGCTTGCAGGGATAAAAATATATGTGCAATTTAAACAATATCCATTAACTTTTTTATTAAGTAGCCTAAATAAAGTTTATCTTCATATTACACGTTTTGCTGGATCTTTTTTTAATTTTAAACTTAGGCTATTTTTAATTAGAGGACAGGACTTAAGACAGGAACACATTGACAGTTCAGTTTGAAACGTTTTATTGTGAAGGTTTGTACCGGAAGTTGTGCGTATCGCAGCAGCGAGTTTGATTCCGGGCTGTTTCATTATGGTAGCCGTCCCAACTAGCGGCTCGTAAAGCAGGAATCCAGACGGGATTATCAGCAGCAGACACCGCCGAGCTGCCAAGTGATATCTCCGGCTACAATTCACCTCCGACACTCGGACCTCCATCCAGACCGACGTGAGGAGAGAGGTAACCCGCCGACCGAGTCTCTCTGCCCGCTTGTCATCTTCAGCTGCATTTATTAACGGTATCGAAGATTTATTTTTTTCAAAATGAAAATGTTAACGATTAATTCTCCGGTTTATTCAGCCTCCCGTGCATTTCTTTATGATATCTTATATTTATTGTATTTTTTTTATTTTTATAAATTAAAATCATGTGTAAGTGAGGCCTGTAATTAATTTAAAGCCTAACAGTTCGGTCGATGTTAGGGGATAGTGATGATGGGTTGTCCGTCAACGAGTCGGTACAAAGAACCGACTCCCGCATGAGAACCGGATCCTGAAGTCTTTTATTTAATTTCTTCCTTTTTTGATCGTGAAATATTAATAAGATATAAACGTACAATTATGACATTGTTTAAATATTTACATTTATTTAAATTGGATTAAACTTATGTTTTATATTTATTTAGTTGAGTACTAACATTTCCTCAAATATTTCCAACAGTCATCAAAGCCAAAGAAATTATTAATTTTATAGTTGTAACGTGACCGCCATGATGAGCCACCTTGACAGACAGGGTGTTTGTTGATGTTGAAATAGAGGTGGAGATAAAAAAACGTTTTATGTAAAAATTGAGATTCTTCTCTTCTGAGATTTTGAATCGATTCAAAACTACCAATATTTTTTTTATTTTTTTTGGCGCAGCAATAAATTCAGCCAGCCTCACAGATGTCTGGAGTAGATCCTGAAGTATAGAACTTTAAAGTCTAAACATAGATTTTAATCCATAGATCCATAGATCCATAGATCCATGAATCCAGAATCGTTTTGAATCGAGCATAGATCCTGAATCGAATCATGACCCCAAGAATTGAATCGTGAGACACCCAAAGATTCTCAGCCCTACGTGGAAACATCAGATATTACGTCAAAGACCGCTACATAAGGAATCAGGAATTGCAACTGAAAGCTGCCATACTGTTTCATCCAAGTATAATTTACATGACTTTTTTGTGCTGCTGTGATAAAAACGTCATGTCAATTATACTTGTATAAATCGTTGGTAAACATATTCTCTTTCTCAAGCCAGTGTCGCCCGTTCGTCTTTACTACGTCAATGCCGAGTTTGGGCTCCCATGATTCCCCGCTGGCCTCGACGTCATCAGATTCTACATATTGTACCTTTTAAAGGGGCGATCCTATTACATCATGCTAAATGTCTTCTGGAAACGTTACATTTTTATATAAATATCTAAAGACAAGCACTGTCAGACTTCCCATGTTGAGTTGGTTCCCCCTCTCTTTCTCAGCAGGGTTTTTCCTGGCTCAGAATGGGCCTTTGGGGGGTGACTATACGCGCTGTAGTAAACGTTCGACCCGCTTATAACAGTATAGTTTACAAGTCTGTATTACCTTATTTGACAGAAATCTGTGCATTTCCTGTTATTTCTGACCATTTTATAAATAATATTATCATTATGCTTAAGTTACTGAAACACCAATTAAATCTGGTAAAGAATTTTTTTTTAATTGCAACGGTGACACAGGGGAAGAGTGAGATTTTGAGGGAGAGGGGTGTAATGATTTGGGAGAGGGAAGGTCACGTCCTGCATATGCATTTCACCCTCTTCATATGATGGCTGCTCTTTTCCTTTAAATTGTGTTTTCGTTTTACATACACATTTGTTTAAGTACATTTATTTGAGTTACTAAGGTATTACGTCAAATAATCACAGATTTAAGTCACAGATAATTTGGATCATTTGATCAGATCAGGAAATTGAGAAATAATAAAAATATATTTGCTGGCTATAACGCAGCGCTGTTTGACAGTCTGTGTGGAGAAGTTCACAGACTACAGCTGGCTGACGTTACGATCATTAAGTTATTGATTGTTGATAAAAGCAGACACGGTGGAAGTGAACGGAGAAAAGTTGAACGTGCATTCCCGACTCGGTCCATACGGATAGCGGATCGACCGTGTTCCGTTGCACAGTTGCACTACAAGTAAACAGGTGCGCGCGGTGGTCGGCGATCCGGTGTGTGTGCGTGTGCGTTTGCAGCCATGTATGTTGATGTCTCGTCTCTGCGTGCCCCCGTGATGACCCGTCTGCAGACAGCAGAGAAGCAGGGACAAGTAGCCGCAGCTACGTCATATGCGGTTTAGTACAGTTTTAACATGACTGTTGGGATAAATATTTACCACCATGAAGTGGACTGCTCTTTGAAATTAAAATCAACCCACATTTAGCTTGTGGGTGTCAGCGGAGCGTCCGGAACCAGTCAAAAGAAACAAACAGTCAATCAGCTGGCTATCCAGCACGAGCCACATGCGTAAATGGATGAGAGGGGAGGTGACTGCTAGAAGTCAGAGACGTCGTATTTAAGTTTATGTTCTGCTTGTTCTACAGTCGTTTGATGTATTGATATTTTTAACATACATTCAGAGAGGATTTGATTTGCAATTTGAATCGTCTTTTTTTTCTTTTGGCGCTCAAATATTGTTGTTTAGAAATTATAAAGCTTGGTTTTATTATAATAAATAATTGAAGTGATACATTGGACAAACGAGGTCTAAATGTTGCTCAATTTGATTGTATTTTAAAATACTGAATGAGGAGCTGTTTAGAAGACAAAAGAGTTAGATCATGTTGCAAATCTGAGCCAAAAGATCCGACTCACTGAAAAAAGCTGAAACTCCCATTATTAAACCAAGAGGTGATTACCGGTGGCTACTAGTCTACATGGCTACTGTACACACTGTCAGCATTTGGCCCACAGATAAGGCTCTTAAATCACTATAACACACTGGTGATATTTTACTTGCTTGTATAATATTGTAAAGATCGTGTTTTTTTATGATGTCACAGTGTTGTAAATCCTCCACAGAGACTCTTTATGGCAGCTGGCTGCACAGCCCTCCTACCCTCCCTGGTGCCATGCAGCTGCAGCGTCAGTCATCCCAGCCTCCACACTAACGCAATGACGGAGGGAACCGAGCCTCCTCACGTACTGACACCATGCTGAGGAAGGGTTCAAGGGCTGCAGGAATTCTTAAAACCTTCCGTGGCACTTTCATTTATGAGACTTTCCAAACATTTCTGTGACGTGGGAGCCGTGTAGAAGCATACCTGCAGCTGGTCTGAACCTGGAGCTGGTCTGAACCTGGAGTCTTGCTAAGGGGCAGTTTGGTTGATTGGATGAACAAATCTGAGAGGATTGTCAGACTTCATTTTTCACCTTTACTTCACATTTTCAAGAGGATGCGGAACTAATAAGAATTGAGACTTGTTAGAGTAGAATACATTTTTTTTCTGTATTTGTGAACTAACTTCAGGTCTTCTGCAGCCTTAATGGACCTGTTCAGCAGGTGTTGTCAGATAGTTTTGTGGAAAAGTTAAATCCTCAAGTCAAAGCTCGTCCACATAACTTACGGGAGACGTTGGGATCATTCTGAAGCTATGATGGGGGCTGCCACCGTCACCTCGTGCATCCGGACTGTTGCGGTCTAACAGACCTCTTGGGTCAGCCTATACCAGCACCATGGATTACCATGCTGAGTGCTGCCTCTGTGATCCAGAGGAGGGTCACGGCGACCCAGACGAACCGCCGCTCCACAGTATCCATGCCCCTAACAGGATGCGCCCATCCTCGTATCGAGCCCTGAGGAGCGCCGTTTCCAGTCTGGCTCGCATTGATGACTTCTTCTGTGAGAAGATCGGTTCAGGCTTCTTCTCAGAGGTCTTCAAGGTATGTGCCCTCGCTGAATGACTAAACTGAAAGCTCTCTGTTGTTTAAAGGGTAACTAAACCCCATATTTTCAGCTGTACTGCTCTACCCTGGAATTTCCAAAAATGCATTTATAATGTCAATGTATCAACTTGGAGAGGGAGGAGGCCGCCCCCCTCCCTAGGTAAACTCGCCCACTCACTCCTTTCGCACCGTTATCAGCTGCAACATGATACAATGTTTGCCCCACACACACAAATACACACACACACTTGAGTCCCCACAGTTCGCAGAGTCGGTTGACGAGGCTTTTACAGGTTTGGTGATGTAGTAATTCACTCCTACGTAGTACTGTACTCCACACAGCCGTTAGAGTTTTTCAAACGGAAGGGCAAACACTCTGCACATTTCTAACACAATATTTCAAATTTCAATACTTTGTACTCATATGTTGAGATTGGGACTTGGATTGATCCATAACACTACTTAATACTCAAATACAGAGGTTTATAGGGTTTAGTTACTCTTTAAAGAAACCTCTGAGTGTGACGGGTGGTAATGAGAGCCAATTACACACGTAAACAATGGTGTTGTAGGAAACGTCTTACACTTTAGTCAGTACAGGATCACACAGATAATAAATAACACCAGTGTTTCCCCTAGGTTTACAGCTTTGGGACACACACACACACACACACACACACACACACACACACACACACACACACACACACACACACACACACACACACACACACACACACACACACACACACACACACACACACACCGACACAGTTCAGTTCAACAGATAGGATAGAAGCCGTAAGAATCTCTGTAACAATTCAGGCCTCAGCTGACAGGGAACCGGGTCCGTGAAGCAGCAGGTTTGGCAACAGGCAGTGTTTCCTCTACCATTATATTAGGGGGGTGGCCCGCCCACCCAACGGCACTCCCCCGGCCCCCTTGATGGTCAAGTTCATTTTATTTTCTATATAGCACCAGATCACAACAGAAGTCATAAGGATACCTTTCCTATAGAACAGGTCTTTACCTCGTCCTTTTATTAAACAAACTTAAAGAGAATTATGTTATTTATCTTATTTACACGACGGTATGTCATTTCTGTCTCTACATGGTTGCGCGTTTACAATTCTCCTCTGCTCTCTGTGTCGGTTTAGTTGACTTCGGACTTTTCTGGGCATGTCTCTCTCTCTGCCGTTACTCAGGGGATGCGCTGTTAGCGTGCTGCATTTAGGGGTGCTCAGACAATGAGAGATGCATTCAGGTGCACTCAGAAAACGGGAGTTGCAGGAACAACTCGCAGGACCCCGCCCCGCCCCCCCAGAGCTCTAAACCTAGGCGAAACACTGGGTAAGAAGGCCGTATTAGCAAACAGTCCTATAGGGGAAAGGTAGAAGACATGTGGGAACCAGGTGCAGGGTCAGAAAGCCTGCAGGTGGGCAGAGATGATCGGGAGCAGGTGCAACAACGCAGGCAGAGTCACAGAACCACAGGACTCCACAGCAAAGTGCGCAGATACACTCACACTGATAGAACGCCGTTTAGAAAAACCAAACAGCCCGGGAGACGAGCAGACAGATTTGATTAGAATTAGAATTTATGATTTAGGATGCAGGCTCGTCTTGTTTTCATACTAAGGACCATAACAATGTTACAAAAGGCTGTTTGAATGCGCTGACTCTTTCCTGCCAACATAGTTCAAACTGATATTCAGATCAGGGGTGCACAATCAAAATCAAGTTTGTGTTTTTCTGCAAAATATATTGCAATATATAAAAAAGTATAGAAAATGATGCCAGAACAATGCAGTTTGCTATCCCTATACAGACATATAACTAATAATAATGTTTATTTTTTAATTAGTTTTAATCTATTCTTCCCACACCTGAACCAGAAGGTGAGTTATGCATCACATACATGTCTACAAGAAGCGGATACACAGACTCTGCACGTGAACGGCTGCACTAATGTGATATCAGGGGGTCGTTTGATAAATCACAAGTTTTCCTTTTGCATGCATCAGCAAAAGTAGCAGAGGGGCAGAGAGGTCACATTGAACATCCACTTCACCACAGTGTGCAGCTGTTTTTCTGAAAATCATCTCATCTGGGTTTGTTCAAATTGTGCCTTTTAGTTTGTATCCAGACATCATTGTAACTTCGGGGAAGCGCCAGTGATTTACAGACAGCTTAAATGAAGGAAATATTTAATTAGATAAACATGACTTGTTTAGCCCTGCTTCAGACACAAGTAAAATGTCAATATCGCAATGTGCTAATTTCATGTACACTCTCTTTGAAACCAAATGACCCCATCTCAGGCACTTTGATACTTTAAAATTACTTAGGGTATAAAAGATCTTTTAAAAAATGTAAGGTTATTTTTCGGCTGTATATGTTTTTATTGTAGAGACAGGAAAGTGGATAGAGTCAGAAATCAGGGAGAGTGAGAGTGAGAGATGGGAATGATATGCAGGTAAGAAGCCACTGGTCAGATTTGAGCCCAGGTCTCATGCCCAGAGGACTACAGCGTCTGTACTTGGAGCGCCCGCACCAGCCACTAAGCCATCTGCTCACCTGGGTTAATTATCTTTACTTGAGCTCAGTCCTCAAACTCAGCAGAAGTGTTTCTGGAACTGGATGTGGTTCTAAGAAACCCTAAAGCTAAATGTGTACAGCACTTAAGTCCAAGACAAATTTCACAAAGGTGACAATAAAGCTTATCATATCATTTGGTTCAGTAACTTCATGCAAATATCTGTCTCTGGTAAAGTTTGTCTCAAATATGTGATTTGTGCAGTAAAATGCAGATCCATGCCAGTATCTTAGTGTGTGGAACTAAATGTTTGACGAGACACACTAGCTTTCTCCAAAAGATTGAAATCATACTTTGAACGTGGCATGACATTTTTCAACAAAGAATATCGCCTTCTTTACTTCAAATTATGTCATTGTATTTATTGTATCTTATCCTGTGGTGTAAAATCATACCACATTGTAGCATTTCATTTTGTATCCTATTGTATCACATAGCATAGTATGGCATTGCATTGTATCCCAACCTATTGTAGTATCGTTTTTAATAATTTCATGTCTAATCAATTTGGATTTCGTTTCATATCCTGTGGCTTTGTATTTTATCATATTGTATGGCATTGTATCACATCATATTCCTAATTTGGGTAGAGCATGCAGAAAGAGAAGGTTTGTTCAGTAAGGTCTCCAGCTTGTGTTGATATTAAGGATGTGTGCACAACACAAACACCACCATACAGACAGCAGAGGCGAGCAGGAAAGAGTACAAACTCTTTTCAAAGTGAGTGATGTCATCGCTCATTTCCATCGGATTTCCCTACGTTGTACCAGCTGCATTCACACACAGACTCACCTCGACTTCTCACTGACTGACTTTTACAGCGGACTGGCAGGAATGAAAGTGCTCATAAAGTCGGAGTGAACAGATTCAGATGTGTGCAGCTCACCCGGACACTACGTGTGTACTCGTAGCAACACTTCCTAAAGCCAAAGCATCTGCTTGTTCTCTTTGATGCAGTGTTGTTGTTGATCTGAATTCCCAGCGGGCAGGAAGGTGGTAGACTAATCTTGACTAGTTAATGGCCCCCCCACCTGCATCACTTCCCCCTGCAGCTGAGCGGCTCAATCCCATTAAGAAAAGCTGCTGTTTGACTACAGAGCAGAGCTTTGTGTCTTTGTCTTTCACTGTTGCTGCTTGTTGTTGTCTGCAGATCCTCATAGGGATTTCACACATGCAGATAACATTTGCAATTCATGCAACTCAATACAGGAGGAACTGTATGTGTGAATGCAAAAAAAAACATATTTTTCTCTCAGTCTTTATTTGGAGTTTCCCCTTCCAGCCCCGCTAGTATTTTTTCTGCAGAAAGTCCGAGTGAGCTGATGTGAGAACGCATTAAGATACAATCAGGGGAATTCACCTCGAGCGAGTGGGAGTAGGTTGTGACACTTACATACAGAATAATGAGATTGTTGGAAGTAGGTAAGGTCTTCCTACCTTCAGACTGTTGGGCAAAATATTTAAACAAACAATCCTCAGAGACGGTAATGCTTCAATCACTGACTAGTTCATCTTTACTTTTTTGTTATTTTGTGTGTATGAATGCCACATAAGCCAGTACAGGATTCCTTTGCATTGTTTTTACGCTTACATTGTGGACTTCTCTTGAATAAAGTAAAGAGAGAAAATAGAGCAATTTATAAACACCCTAAGGTCACTACAGAGCGAACTGGAAGTGCAGTGAAACAACTTTCATAGTACAGTAAGCGCAGGTGAAAGAAGTCTGATATTTAATGGAAGAATTGCCATCATTTTACACAATTAAATCATAAATCAAGTCTATCCTGTGTAAATGTCTCTCTGAGTCATGACTGTCTACAATGAGTGAGAAGCCCCCTCGGCTGTGTTGTTGTCAGGGCCGTGTTTACATGGACGGTACGGCCGGCTCCTCCCCTTGTGTATAAAACTGTTTTAGTCAAGGACTAGAGAGAAGAAGAAGAACATCCTCACTGATTATTTGAATGACACATTTTTAAAGAGTTTTTAGATCACGGTCATTCTGTGTCAATTTATGTTCAATATGAAGCTACAAGATAACTGAAGAGTGCTAACATTAGCATGCTAACACAACAATGCAGGACACAGGAGATTATGGTCGCTCCAATTCATAACTCCTCCATGGGAATGTGAGTGGAAAGGAGTTGGAGGCGTGAGGCTGGAGGAGAGCGGAGGCTTCAGAATAGCGGAGGTGTCGCCAAACAGCGGTTTGTTTTAGTTTCATGTTGGAGCTCAAGGGCGACATCTACTGGATCAAAAAGTCACACATTCTTCTTTGATGAAACACGAGGAAAACATGACTTCAATGGGTTCATGATGCATAATGCACAGGTCAGGCTGAGTGTAACATGGATGACTCCTTATAGAACTTGAACATCTTTACTATGTTTTTTTATTTCTGCATAATTTATATAATATATGTTGCATGTTTGTGCATTACATCTGTGCCATGTTGGTCATACATGTAGTTAACGTGTGTGTGTTCAGTGCTACATGTAAGCTGTGTTTTGAACAGACAGTGTATATGTGTGTGCGTGTGTGTGTGAGTGTGTGTGTGTGAGTGTGTGTGCGCATGTTGCCTGCTTGTGCGGAGACAGTCTGAAAAGTGGGACCTGTCCTCCAATCATCCTAAGTAGATTACTCGCACACCTCCGTCCAGACGAGCGATTTAGCATCGTTTCAGAGCTAATCTCCGTCCATTCTAACAGACCTGACAACACAGGTCACATGAACGTTCATGCACACTGAGCATGTGCGTGCCTGAGTATACAGCCTCAAACAAAGCTGATAGGGCTCATCACACACAGGAATCACTCCAACAATATATTCAGTCGTAGGCAGAAGTAGAGTCTTGAAATGCAGAATGAAACTACACGAGAGCAGTTAGAACAACAAGGTGAGCAGGGTTTAGTTTTATTCCAAAATGTTTTGGTTTTGGAGCCCAAAAGTGTCACAGAAGCAAGGATGATAGGCTTAAACCTAGACAAAGTTATGCTTTTTAAACAATGACTATATAAGTGGACAAACCATGATGACATCACTAAATGGTTTCTGATCCAACGTTTGAACCCTTGAGTTTTGCATTTTGGTCATCAACTTCTTGAATTTTTGGAGCCAGAAGTATTCTGGACTTTTTTGTTATTTGCCGTACTGGATGGCCCAGCACTAGAGGAAACCCTGTTCCATCCTCTATTTAAGTCTCAATCTGATCATGAACATGTTGATACAGAGGAATTGATTGTCTAGTGATTAAGAGGGAAGTTTCAAGGGTTTGTCTTTCCCCTGTACGCAAAATCACATTCATCCACAAAAAAAAGCAGAGAAGAACATACTGGAAAACATAATGCAGCAGGTCGCATACAGACAGTCTATGGTCGTGCAACGATCACAGTGAATAAACACCACCACTTCACCTGGTTATATCTTGCTGCATTCTCACATCTGCTCACTCGGACTTTCTTTTAAAAAAATACTCTGGGACTTTTGGGAAATTTGACTGTTTGCATTCACACATACAGTTAACCTTGAAAATTTTAGGAGTTTTGTGCAGGTGTGAAAACACTTGATGTCAAATTGGATTGCCGAATGTGACGAATGTGAACTTTAGCACCACCAGCCTTAGGTCCTGTACCTGCAGGTTAACGTCCATGTGCCTGTGCTGAATGTGGTAACACAAGGCTCTGGTTGATATACCATACCAGTACAACCTGAAACACCCTTCATATAACTCCATCTACATTTTCTACATCAAAATACTGAAAACCCGCTGCTCCTACGAGATGCTGTCCGTTCACTGTGCTTGTTTACATCTGGGTAGTAGAGCAGGAAGAACAGGCCAATATAACGGATCGACAGCCCTGATCAGAACTAACCTAAGAACACAGCTATCAGCAGTGTTTTGAGCTAAATGCTAACATTAGATTGCTAACAGTAAAAGTGGGTGATGGAATGCAATGGATGTCCATAATCTATTGTCAGCTCCCTTACCTGTGAGTAAGAAACAGAAGGAATACACAGCAGATTTTAGTGTTTTATAGAAACTCTGTTTATTTGCAGATGGGAAAGGATAAACACGTGAGGACCTCTTTTTGTGGACACTAGTTTTATTCTAAACCGCACCTTCAAAAGGTGTAACAACGTTAAAAGCTTCAGTACACAATGTTCTCCGAAGTACTTTTACACCGAGCACCTCTCCTCTGGTTTCTGATGTCTTTGGGCGTGAGCTTGTACAATAGCTTCGACTTTTTCAGAAAGGAACAGAGGTATGTGCAGTCCACTTAGTATTAACCCTCACCCTGAGCAAACACTCAGACCAGCGTGTGACATGGCCTAGCTTTGCATGGTCATGGTTGGGAGAAACCTGTGGATAGTGTTGAGTTGATCGTGGGCGTCAGAGACAGTCTGCGTTGACATACTAGAAAATATTTAAAAGGACAAAGATGTCGTCATTGATTGAATCAGAGGATCGCTTTATGCTTGCATGCAATTCCAATTTCTGTTGATAACACCAAATCAATGAGTTACTGGAGAGAACAATTGTAGTCAAAGCACGTTTACATTAAGCTATAAGGGAATTGTTTGCTGAGTTTTCGACAAGTTTAGAGGGTGAGAGCATCCAGATGAATGATTATAAAAAGTGAGTTGGTTTTGTCCTACATTTCATGACAACATGTTACTGTGATTATGATTAAAATGTGAAACCAATGCAGAAGTGTCTTAAACCTACATTCTTTCTAATCACCAGCTGAAGCCCCTTAAACCCCCAAAGTAGCCCCTATGAATAATATGAATCAGAATTCACTTTGGACTTAGTTTGTTCTGGTTTTTATTCCTCCTAACCTTCTGTCTTTAGTAAATTCTGCTCAGTGTGTCGGCGCGTGTGTGTCTCTGAGGCCTCGGTAATGGCTCTGTGGATTTGTGCAGATCAGGAGGAGTGATGGGAAATCCAGAAAGCCTATTAGTCCAACGCTATTAATACACCCACACTCATGCACATGTAAACGCGCACACACACACACACACACAGACACACACACACACACACACACTCATGAACCTGCAGGTCCAGACACTGAATGGATTGTTTTGTCCACCTCGGCCTGCTGTTGCTGCTGCTCTCTGTCCTGACAGCTCAGATCTACAGAGCAGCTTTTTGTCTGCTTCTCAGTGACAATGAGAGTGTGAGATATAGTGACAGATTAACATCACTGTGCGTCCAAAAGAGTAAGGTTGATGCTTTACACATCGCTGGCAGCAGCACATATAACCTTACAGGGGATCATTTGTGAGTATTAATTATGGGGTCAATAAAAACCTGGCTGTTGTCGAGATTGTTTACTCTCTTATCATTTCTCAGACAAAGATAGTTCATGAGGTCAAACGGCAGAGTGACTCACTGACGTCCATGATCCCTTTCTCTGTTTCATACGGGTCCTGTATGCGTCAAACTATTGATCCCTGTGACTCTAAGGCATATGACTGTTCACAACATTCTGACCTGAGGACATCCTTTAGACCGGAGTCTTCCACATGGTTGACTCTTGACTCGGTTTAGTTTCATACACAGGTCCGTGGTGATTCACAACCTCCAAAACAGTGCCCTGCCGACTTTGTTGATGTGGTTCCCCTCTGACATCCGTCTGATTAGCTTCACCTGTAGGTTCAGCTCGTAGGTGGAAGCTCAAACTCAAAGTACTTTGCAGATTTTTTCATTCTGTTTGATACAAGACGCGCATTAATTTTTACTGAATCTCCAATTTTCCTGTGAAATCTTTTGTAAGATCAAGAGTGTGAGAGTGTGTCAAGTTCACAGATTAAAAACGTGTCGACAAGCCTGTTTACATTCTGCCATCTTACTGTTTAAAACCCGCATTTGTGATCTGCTGTTAAAAGTGAAATTAACTAAAGCATGAAGTATGTTTATTTGCTGTCAGATAAATCACACATATGCAAAAAACAACGAGTCAGCAGGAACAGCTAGCTCAGTTTTACTTCAACTGAAAAGCAATCTCACCTGCTCCCTCAGTGTGACTCTCCCCCTCACATCAAACCTCCTCTGGATGTTTCCCAGGTGCAGCATCGGATCACAGGGCAGGTGATGGCTCTGAAGATGAACACGCTGGCCAGCAACAAAGCTAACATGCTTCGAGAAGTGCAGCTCATGAACAGGCTTTGCCATCCCAACATACTCAGGTAAGTCATTATGATGAACTTTTATGAGCTTAGTTATGGCACTTAAGACAGAAACTTTTTCAAAAATTAAAGATAGTTAAATATTGATTCACTTCAGCATCCTTATCTTATGTTTGTGACACTTTATCACTTTTCTAAAACACTGTATCCTTTCCCATTAATAGTGAGCATGCATTTTTAACATGAATTCATTTCTGGTTGTGTTAACCTCTATAACTTGGGATTGTTTTGCCCATGTGTGCCTCTCCTCAGGTTTCTCGGGGTTTGTGTGCATGAAGGTCAGCTCCACGCTCTGACTGAGGTAAGACCGTCACTCACATCTCTCCTTTTTAAATGTTGTCACATTACTTTAGAAACTGTCTATCCCCATTTGAACCTGATCCCTCTCTTCTTTTTTTAATAAACGTCCCTGTGCCATATAGCTGTGACTACACTGACGGTTGACACAATACCTGAAGCAACTGATGGCAAAATTATTATTATTATTTATGTCACTCAGCAGATGTATCTGCCTTAAGGGTGTGTATGATTGGGTAACTAAATGGTTAATTGTTGCCACCAGAATTACCCGTGGTTATAACAAGTTGTTTATATATTTATATGTTGCGCTTTGATGCTCAAGCTGTAACGCAAACTTCTGCCACTAGTTGGGACTGTAGCCCTGTTTAATGGGCCTTTAATGGTGTTTTCTGACCCTTAGCTGAGTTGGTTAATCTGAATTAAAAATTTCCGTTTGATCGACTAGGCAGTTAGTTCGAGGCTAGGAACATCCCAAATTTGCTTTAAACAAAAGGAGCTTGCAAAGAGTGAATCTATATTTGAAAATTAGCTTTACTTTTCTCAAAACGCGGTACCTAAGAACTATTTGATGCCTCAATATGTTCAAATTGAAAAAAAAGATCAGAATGTAGTAAATGTAAAAACTTCTCGTAGTAAACATGAGCTGACTCGCCCTCTCTCTCTTCTCTCTCTGCAGTACATAAATGGAGGGAACCTGGAGCAGCTGTTGGACAGCGATCTGTACCTGTCGTGGGGTGTCAGGATGGGTCTGTCTCTGGACATCGCCCGAGGGCTGAAGTACCTGCACAGCAAGGGCATCTTCCACAGAGACCTCACGTCCAAGGTACGGAGCAGCCAAGCGGATCAGGAGGCCTGCATGAGTTAACTTGACAAGGGGGCGGGAAAGTTACAGTTTGATTTTAATCATGATCTCACAGGTTAGAGGAAATCGACTGAGGCAGAAAGCATTTTGCAAAGGATTGTGGGTGTATACTCAGACTTGCTGATTATTCAACGGTGAAACAGTGTGTATTTTGAAGATCGATTTTTGGGCTTTTTACACCTTTAATGGAGAGACAGGACGATGGATAGAGTCAGATTCAGGAAGAGAGAGCAATGACATGCGGGAAAGGAGCCACAGGTCGGATTTGAACCCGGGCCGCTGGCTTCGAGGACTACAGACTCTGTACATGGGGCGCACAAACTAAAAACTACACCACCAGTGCCCCAAAACAGTGTGTATTTTATATTCAGAGAAGGCCAGTTGTTTTGAAAAGCATTGTTGTGTCTTAAGCGCATTAATTCACCCTTAAGGTTTGTATGTTGAATGCTGGTGAACAGTGACTTAATCATACCACAAGGTGGCAGTATTTGTCTAGTAATGTTTGAAACGCAGCTCCAAGTGCTGTTAGAAAATGTCTTCATACTAATGTAGTCTATGGTAATGTCTGAGAACATGAGAGAGAAAAGTAAAAGTGAAATCTGCACAAAAAAAAGTTGAAGGTTGTAAAAACAGAATCTGTTTTACAATCCACATCAATCAATTTAAATAGTTTGCATAACTCAAAATCATAACAGATTTTATCTGAAGACTCTGTACCTAATAAAGCAGGCCGAGACGGTACTCTTTGTCATATTATTACAGAGAACAGACATTAATCCAACACGAGCAAACACTTTGTCAACATTCAGGAAAGTAAAATGTGAGGTAAAACCCTAACCTCGAGCAGAAGCAGACAGACTTGTGCTGAGATACAGAAAGAGAGAGATGAGCAGACAGACAGCCGTCCGCGTAACTGTTTGCGAATGTGTTTCACTTTTGTGTTTATTAAAACGATGCAAATCGAACAAAAGTTACGTTTGTTTTGTGCTGCTGCTTTGGCACCTGAGAGATTCACGTTATCGCTCCCTCTGCAGAACTGTCTGGTCCGCTGTGATAACGGCGTGTTCACGGCTGTGGTGGGAGACTTTGGCCTGGCAGAGAAGATCCCTGATTACAGGTCAGTGGGAGGAAATGAAAAAAACGTACAGCATTTTTTTTTCTTCTAGTTTTCGAGTTACAACAATCACTTAGAACACAAAGACAAATGGATGAGACTCCACTGGCTCCCAGTTACTGCTCGCTTACAAAACAACGAAAGAGAAGAAAACAGTGTGAAGCAGTTTCACACGAGCAAGGCGCTCGCCCTGACTATGTAATATAAACGTCATCACTTCCGCTCACTCACTTTGCAGTGAATTTTGGGAGCATGAGAGCTAATAATTAAAACACACCTGTAATGTTTGAGATTAGGAAATGAAACACCCTCTAGAATAAACATATTCATTATTATACTGTATGTGAATGAAAAATTGCACAGAACCAGTTTTCATTCCGGTCTTTTGGACCTTTTGGTCTTTGACATAATGCAGGAGTTTTTGTTATTAGATTGCATTTTATTATAGAATATATTCTACTTTTAGTCTATGGTGAACATTTAAAACGTTGAAATCGTGGCAGGATCGCACAGAAAATCCCTCTCGAGTGTAGAGACGTTTACTCCACGGACTCTTCCTCTGTCTCTTTGCAGTGACTGTGTGGAGAAGCAGCCTCTGGCCATCGTGGGCTCCCCCTACTGGATGGCTCCTGAAGTCCTGAGAGGAGAGCTGTACGATGAGAAGGTGAACCTGCTTTCTTACTCTTGAAACAACGAGAAAGTTTCATTTAGACTTTACACAGCATGGTGTTCCATAAGCTGTCAGGCTCTTTACAGAACCACACAGACGTGGGCTCAGGTAAGATACAAATTCAAACTTAACTGGGGCGGCTGTGGCTCAGTGGTAGAGTCGGGGCCTCTGTCAACCGGAAGGTCAGGTCTTTCCTGCAGCCACATGTCCAAGTGTCCCTTTGGGCAAGACACTTAACCCCAAGTTTCTTCATCGTCGGTGTAAATGTGCATGAATGGATTAGTTTCTTCTGATGGACACTTTAAATAGCAGACTTTACCATCAGTGTGTGGATGTGTAGGTATGACCTTCAGTGTAAAAGCATTTTGTGCAGCCAGAAGACTAGAAAAGCGCAATACCAGTCCATTTACTATTTACTGTTACTTTTCTTCCATATTTAATTAGTTTTATGTATGGCATGCAAAATCCATGTAAGTAAACTGTTTTAAAATGAATTTCCTTTGCTGACATGCACTCCTCCAACCCTGCTCAGGTGGACGTGTTTGCGTACGGCATCATCCTCTGTGAGATCATCGCACGGATTGAAGCTGATCCAGACTTCTTACCGAGGACAGAGGTGAGGTGCAAACTGAGTTTTAAATGTTATCTTACAGAGCCATGAACACTAGTATCAGTGGATTGTCTGTGATTCAGCAAGAGCTGCAGGTAAGGTTGTAACTGTCAAATGCATACATTGTCCGGCGCACCTGTGCGGGTTTCGCCCTTCCGCTGGTCACTTCTGCTTTACACTTATTTCTGTTGTTTCCCGCGGTTATTGTAGTCTCACATGACTTCTGCCAGACCCTTTCATGATGTAATCGTCACAATTTTAAATATCAAACATGTTGGATATAAATTGGACAATGTTTGATCAGATGGGGGTTTTTAAGATTGGATCTTTATAGAACTCACTCTACAAGATAAAATGGGAAGATAATGATGGAGTCAGGGCTTTAAATCAGCCTGATTATCCTGCAGTCTAAGCCAGGCTTAAGTCAACAGAGTCTGTCCTAATAATGGCCGTTTTTTTGCCTTTATTTCTACATTAGTTTAACATATTAACAGCATCAATTGAACGATGAAAATAACATACTGGTGAGCAAAAAAAGTGTATGAGGCTTCACAATGTGTAAGAAGATCGAACTGATCGCCTGATAAATACGTCATCACCCCCTCCAGCTGGCATTTTCTGCTGTGTTCTCGGTTGGCTCCTCACATCTTCACAAAAATTTTCCTATCAGGCGAGCAGGAAATAGTCCTCTAAAACCAGCATACCTAAATTTTCTGTATTTTTGCACGTGTGACAGCAGCTTGTGTGTGTGTTTCCTTGCAGGACTTTGGTCTAGACGTGGGTGCTTTTGAGAACTTGGTTGGGGATTGTCCTCCTGTGTTCTTTAGCCTCGCTGTCACCTGTTGTAATGTAAGTGTACACACACACACACACACACACACACACACACACACACACACACACACACACACACACACACACACACACAGCTGCAGGGACTTTCTGGGGAAACCCAAAACATGTTAGTGTGACTCAGAAGGAGGAGACAAACTCTTACTTTCCCCTCCCAATAAGTCCCTGCTCCAAGGGTAGGGCTTAGATTAGATGTTTATTGCCATCTGCATAGTTACAGGAGAGGTACATTGGAATTTTTGTGCTTGACTTCCAACAGTACCAGAATTTCCAATTTAAAAAAACACTAACAACAGAATTAAGAAAACCCCTGCGAAAATAAGTTCCAAAAAGTTGCAAAAAAGTCAGGTTAGTCTGGGTAGAAAAGCAACCTTTGTTTACAACCTGGCAGTGCTATAACAGCCCGAGTTTAATTGATGTTAAGATTCACATTTATCATCATAACTATACCATCCCTTTTTTGGTTTATTGTGCCTTCAGATGAGTGCAGAGAGGCGTCCCTCCTTCTCCGACATCGTCTTCACACTGGAGAGCATAGAGCAAGAAGAAGACGCAGAGAAGCCCATCGCACTCGGTAAATACACTGACCCCAATCTCCTCTTTGGATATTAAACATTAAGGGTTATGAGGTTTTTTCTTAACCTGCACCCGATTAATTATGTTTTTCATTTTGTGTAAGTGCAAAAGATTTTTTTTTTAATCGCTCCAGCTGATTGCTTTAGCATGCAGCCATGAAACAGGGCTTCATGTTAATGGCTGTGACGTAATCCTTGGGGTTTAACGCTCACAGTACTTTAGGTACACTAAACCCCAATTCACACATACTCTGTGCGCGCTGCGGTCCGTCAGCGCCACGGTTTTGCTCCGTCGAACGGCTCGCGCCCATTCACACTGGATCCGTTTTTCTGGGACGTCAGCGCAGCGGAGCGCACCCATGACACATCACAGGAGAACTACAAGAGAGAAAAAAAAAGAGAAAAAAAAGAGAAAAACATGCAAACGACATGTTGCTTTGTCTTTCTGAGGATGCTTTGTTGTTAATTCGGTTCCTGTTTTGACGTAATGTTGATAAAGTGATGAAAAATACGATCGTGAGTCCGTATATTGTGTTTTATTTTGAAATTGACCGGATGCTCTGTGCGTTGCCTTGTCTCACTTCCTGTCCGGGCTGTCATATTCTGTCCATCTTGACGCGTGCCTGCAGCGAAAATAGACTCGCTGCGTATATGAAACGGAGCAGAGCGCAGTGCGGTTGGTGGCACGCGCCGGAGACGGACCGCAGCGCACGCTGTGTGAACACAATGATTGACTAGAGTGGCAGTACAACGTAGTGCGCTGCACTGACGGACCGCGGCGCGCACGGAGTATGTGTGAATTGGGGGTAAGAGCGTTTTAACATTAGGCACAATGGTTTTGTATACCGTGCCCTCTTCCGCGCTGGCCTGCTTTCGCATTTAGGAAGAAGAAGAAGCAACCATGGCAACCACTCGCATCATCAACAGGGAGATATTTGTTCATGACTTGTGCAGAGAATGGAGTCAATCATGCTACTGTGGATGTTGTTGTTATTGATGCAAAAAAAATAATTTTAGGGACCGTACTTAAATTCGCCACATATTCAGTCGTGTTGCTTCAGGTTTGAACATTTGTACATGTTATTCCTTCAGAGACCAATCATGTAAAAAGGATCAAAACTGTGGAGTTCCCCTCAATGAAGGGACATTCGGAGACCTTTATTGTCTCAGCTGATCTTTTGCCTTAGTAGAGCTAACGTCTTAACAAACTTACATTTCTTTCCCTTGTCTTTCTCATGCAGAACTTGTGGCAGTAAATGTCAGTCCATACCGGCGCCTCAGCTCTCCTGGTCAACCCGGTGACCGCAGCCAGCAACGTCAAGGCTTGGCAAGGAGTCAGTCAGACATGTTACCTCCAACAACACTGACCCATCCTCTACTTGGGACCCCAGCGCGGGTCAACCCCTTCTCCCTCCGACAGGACCTAAACGGGGGGAGGTGTAAACTCTTAGACACGCCCAGCAAGTCTGTCATCTCCCTGACTTTCACCCTCCCGGCGCTCTGCGACCCTTGTGCCTCCCCCCACCTCCTCAGAGGGATGCCAGGGTCGAGAGCACCGCCGAGGAGATGCCAGTCCCTCCCCTGTACCCCTGAGCTCAGCCGGACTGTAGCCTTGCCAAGAGACACAGGGCGTATGGAGGAGGAAAAGTTTGAGGCCGTCAGAGTGGGAGTCGTTACAGGAAGGACAGGGGAAGATGAGGATTACAGCATGAGGAAGAAAACATCAGAGAAGGATGAAAGGGTGCAGGTAGACCCCCTAAAGGTAACTGAGAACAGAGAGTTGTTAAAGGACGGGGGTGGGGTGGGACAGGATTCAGGTTCTTCTGTCGGATTGGAGACGGTGTCTCTCGAACGGTTAGAGGAGGAAGAGGAAGATGAGGAGAGTGTATGTCTAACAGAACCCATGGACTGTACAAAGTCTCCAGAGCCAGCAGAGGGAGCCTTGGAATCTACACCCGGTAGAGCCCTGCTCACCTCCACTTCCTCCTCCTTATTACGGACCAATGGCTGGCGACTTCCCATTTCCAACGGACCACCCTCTTTGCCTCCTCTGCCACGACTGGACAACAACAACGGCTCCGCTGCTGTGATTGGCCAGCAGGTGCAGTGGGGTGGAGGAGGGTGCTCAAATGGTTACAGCCAAGCCCAAGTCCTCTCCTCGGAGGTCAGTGGCCCCTCTGAGCCGGATGAGGTAATTTCCTGTCCTGGCTGCTGTCTGGTGGGTCTGAGTTTCCCCTCGGTGTGCCTCCGTGGTTTAGCTGCCGTGCCTACCCCCCGTCGAAGGGCTTCGTTACCACGGCAGCGCCCCTTCCAGAACCTCAACGGTACCATAACTGGTGGCAGCGCTTCATCAACAACAGCAGCAGCCACAGCAACCAAAGCTCTACTCTGTCGCAGCTCGAACGGACTCGTAGTAGCCGGACCCTCTGTCACATGTGAGCCAAGCCGTTCCCTGCCAGAGGCCCAGACATAAGCACCAGCATATAATGTTGATGCACAACGGAGCAACTCCAAATGTTGCTTTGCTAATACTGAGAACCTAATACTGACCCCAGCGAATAAGATGTGTTGTTAATCCAGCACAGTTACAGCACGCAGTAGATGTTGTTGATTGAGTGCCACCGTGGAGGGGTTGAGGATTTAATCACAAAAATATCACAGTGACACTAACGAACACGGCAGTTTGAAGTAAGAGGGTTTGAAGGCAAACTTTGAACACTTCAACAAGACAGGTTTAAACTAAAGCAGTAACCGACTCAGAATTTTGTCAGGCGAATCAAATTTGGCTTTATATAGAGTTCGACTCGAGTCTCATGTTTACATATATCAAAGTTTCACCATAAAAGGATATTAGACCATTTCCAGTCTTCTACATTATTTGTTTCGCAGGTAAGGTAGCCATCAATTTTCAACTTTATCGCTCAAGCAGATGAATGACTTGCTGCAGCTAGAAAGCTCAAGTTCAGCTCAGATAAATACAGATGCTTTTGAAGAGGGTCAGATTGTTTTGGGAAGGAGGATAATCTGCGGATCACTCAGCTACTGTCTGTTGAAAATTACACTGAAAGTCTGTGTAAAGTTTACAGTCTGCCATGCTGTTGTTTCTGCATTGAGATTCGACTGACAAAATGTGAGTTGGCTCTGGCTCTTTTTAACTGGTGATTGAAATCATCAGTGTTTCCCCTACCATTATATTAGGGGGGGCGGCCCGCCCCTCCAACGCCCCCCGCCCCCCCAACCTTGAAGGTTTTTTTTTTGTTTTTTTTAAAGATTTATTTTTGGGCTTTTTGTGCCTTTATTGTAGGGACAGGATAGTGGATAGAGTCGAAAATCAGGGAAAGAAGTCATTTAAGGATACCTTTCCGATAGAAAAGGACAGCTGTCATTAAAAGTAACGCATGAACACCAAGATTCCTTCAAGTGTTTGTGTCGGCATGTCGGCGTGTCCCCCCCTCACCCAACGCTGTAAACCTAGGGGAAACACTGATCATCAAATGTTAAAGTGGCAGCTCTGGTTCAAACACACAGTCAGGGTCAGTAACTCTTTACTGGTTCTGATTCAAACAGAGCAGCTAGTCTGTGATGAACACCTCATCAGTACTGAACCAAATCAAACTGGACTCAGTTTGCACTCAACGGTGCTAAATTCTGTTCTTGAGGATGTCACGGGGGAATTAAGTGTTTGGGGCCAATTGAATAAGCTAATTTATAGTGTAATTGCAGTTTATTACAAAATTGTTTGTACATAACTTCTTCCCTTTTTTAAGGTCAATGGGAACATTTTTCTCAAAGTGAATTGCTGAAATCAGCAAACGTTTCGACCTGATTAAAAAAGTTTATGTTCTGGAAGAAACAAAGACATTGGTCAGAAAAGTGACCTCAACCGTCTCCTGTGCACATTATGATGGTTTACAGACAGGCATCCTGCTGACCTTGACCTTTTTTTTTTTAAGGACATCCTTGCATGTCGGTCATCAGACTAACCACCACTATCCCGCAATGATAAGATGTGTTCAGACTAAAAGTGAAGGATAATTAGACCCTGCATTACCTGACCAAGTTTGATTGAGGGATCATTTGTGTGTCTTTGTTTGTTCAACACAACCCACAAATATTCTTCCATCCAGACACTCAAAGGAAATAACGTGTCCAGGTTCATGAAATCCCATGGAGGCGTAAACTGATCGGTGAATTCCCTCTATTTCTCTATGAACTGTGTTTAGATCAACTTTCTTGCTGTTTCCAGTTACTTGAGGCAAACAGGTCACAACAGGACCAGGACTGCTTCGATGGACACCAACTAGCAGTGTACTATTTTAGCTCTCGAGCATCTGTCCATCCTTCTCCGCTGAGTGGTAGTTTTACCGTATCGAACATGTCGGCTGAAATCTGGCATAATTAAAAAGATTGAGCCGGTAGCATAGTGGTTAGTGCGCACGCTAAATTTACAGAGGCTAACACTCTAAGCGGGCGGTCCAGGCTCGGATACGCGAGACGAGATAACTTTAAAAAACACTTTCTGATCACACGGCAAACTTCTTTGCTGAAAATTAGGCCAATGAGGAAGTGCAAAAAACTGCAGTCCCACAAGTGTCCACTTGAGGCTGGCTGAAAAAATCCCCAAAAGTCACTTAAATAATCATTCAAAAATTCCCATTCAGATATTTAAATGTTTACAGCCAGATTCAAAAAACTAATTTGGTCCGAAGAGCGCATATATTTATCAGATCACACTGTACAGGGGGATTCATTTTTATTATAATCTGTTTTTATCTGCTTCGAAAGTTTGCTTCAGAAACCAATGGGTGATGTCACTGAGGTAAGGTCCATGTTTTATGGTGCTCTCCATTTACCTCGGATCTCGGATAATCTGGGAATGAAGTCCCACCGAGTAAACAGCATTCCAGTTGCGAGTTGTAAGTAACACGGACGCCTCCTGGAGTGCCTTTGTTTTGTTAGCTAATACCAGGCGACGCCAACACACATCGTGTCACATGACAACATGTCTACAGATAGAACTTAGCATGATACTATCGGTGTGACTGATTGATTTAATTACACTAAAAAAGGACTAAGCTGCTAATAAACACAATAGTTACAGCTTAAACGTTACTCTTAATGCACGTAGCAGCCATCTTGGATTTTAAATCGGGCTACTAAAGGTTCTCTGAGTTTCCAAGTTGGAATTAAGACTTTAAGGAGGCATTCCTGATGACGTATCAGACCGGCAACTTGAAAATAACAACTAACAAGATCAAATGGAACGCACTATAAAATTATACAAACTGTTTTTGATGCAAACAGAACGTCAGAAGAATCTCAGGTGCTGTAAGGTTTTTAGGATGCAGTGACAGCAGTGATTGGGCTGTTTGGCTCATTGTCGTGATTTGTGATGCTCAACTCACAACTCACAATGCCAAGCGAGAATTCGCCTCTGTTCTTTTCTATTTGCCTATTTAAAAAATAATCTTTCCTTTTAGTCTGAACACAAGCGGAGGCTCTGCTGGGAGAACAGATGACGATCCAGCTCAGTGTGGCTGCAGGTTCATGAACGTATGCGGGTGGCAAAAAAAAAAAAGGTGTTGATTCTATTTTAAACTGATTAATTGTAGTGCATTGAGGGATGTTTATAGAATTTTTAAAAAAAGCAGACTTCCTACAGTTTTTATAGCAGTTGAACTAATTGAGTGTGTGTATGTATGTATGTGATAGAGAGAAAGAGAGAGACTGGTTTCTCCTCCTGAGCTTGTCATGTACCTTTTTTTATTTTTGCACTTCATCTTGGAGCACTTTGCAGTAAGACCCCATGCTTTGACTAGGCGGTGCTTTATTTAAACCTGTGCTACTGGTGTTTCATGTGTGTGTGCTTCTGGCCCAACCATTAACACAGCGTTCATCCTTTGACATCCAGTCCCGTCTCACATGAATCTCATGTATGTCCATGTACATTCTGATTACTCTGTTGTAACTTAAAAAGTGGCATGTGAAGCAGGTATGAATATTTATTGTACAGATCATTCCACACACTGTGTGTGTACAGTATGTGCTGTTGACTGAAAGGTAGAGCGATGGATCCTCGCAGGATAACTTTCATCCCAGCATTTCTGATGTTAAACCATGGATCGCTTCATTTCTAGTTTGGTTCTGTTCTTGCAGGTAGAAACCTGCGTGCAATAATCTGTAATAAAAAATATGGATGTGCATAATCTCTTTCAGTTTCACTTATTTATATAAATAATCTAAAAATAAAATCCCCTTCCACGTCTTCCTCTGTCTCTCTTGGCAGCCTATCAGAGGGCTTCAACTAAAACTGTTACTGAAGGTTGAATGAGTTCATGATGTGACAGTGATGGTGTTGACACTGACCAATCAAAAGAGGGGAAGAGCCAGCCTTGCTCTCCCCCTCCAAAACATTTTTCTACACATGAGCACAACTTTACCACGAGCGAGGAGAGAGACAGAGAGAGCAGCTGCAGTCCTGTGCTCACAAAGCAGACAGTGACCTTCTGTGTCCTCGCCCGTGATTTATTTCACTCTTGCAGCTCTCTGACGATGAATTTGTGTGCAAAGAGTTTTATTATGTGCGTGGCATTTAATATCTGCGGGTACGAAACAATATATTTACTCGTGGCTTCAGTAACTTCTTTGACTCCATACTTTCCATCTCTGGGGGAATATGTGAAGTGAAGCTGCTGCAGTTTCCTGTAAATGTTGGCGGGAGGGGCGAGCAGCAGTTTAAGTGTCGAGTTATCTGAGGGCTGTAGAGACGAACATAAAAAACATGTTGCTTCAAAGATAAGTAGAGTAATACTTAAACAGAGAATCTGTCAGGATAATCAATCCCAGGGGGGAATAAATAAATGTTTAAAATCATCCAATCAAAAAATCCCAGTCCTTTAATGAAGCAGAAAAGACACAAGGTTTTTTTTGTATGATTTTTGTTTGTCTTTATTTGATAGGGAAGTGGATAGAGTAGGAAATCAAGAAGAGGAAGTGGGGAATAACATGCAGGAAAGGATTTGAACCTGGGCCGTCTGCTTCGAGACTATAGCCTCTGTACATGGGGCACTCGCACTAACCATTAGTCCATCTGCGCTCCAAAAGCTACAAGGTTACGGTATTTAAAAAAAGAAAACAATCTCTTAGAAGACAGTTCTGTTTCCATGATCTTTCACTCGGACATGGTGTAATAAGGTACTCTTGTTGACAGACTTTGATCCTGAAATAAAAAAGTTGAGTTGAATAATAACATACACAGTTGATGTTTTACCTTCTTAAAGTTTTTAGAAGAAGTCTACTGTATCAGTCTCTTCGACCTTCAGTGTTACATGCAATGTGATTCAGAAGTAGCCAGTGTTGGTTTAGCAGCCTAAAAATAATTGAAATAATAAAGCTGACTACATTTTTACATGTGAGTTACTGGCCTGTTTAGGTGAAAGAGAATTAATCTATCTCTATTTGTATAGTGCCAATTCATAACAAATCCCTAGTCCCTAGTCTGTCTACAAACCAAAAGTCCATCCTCTCTGTCTTTTGCCTGCTCCACTTTTCAGAAAATGTGTGCTCAAACAGGCCGTTTGGAGATTTTCCCTTCATGACATCACAAAGGGCAGTAACCCCTCCCTCAGGTAGGTGACACTCCCACAGCTAGGTGTTTGTTCTGCCCTCTGAGTCTGCCTTCTCACCGTAAACAATAGGACATGGAGCGAGAAAGCCAGAGACACCTGGCCCTTCCAGAGAGGGGCGTGGTCAGACACAGCTCATTTGCATATTTAAAGGTACAGACACAGAAACAGCCTGTTCTGAGCAGGGCTGAAATAGAGGGGTTTATAGGCATGATCAAATACATGATCAGAGTGGATTTAGAACAAGAAACTTCACAGAAAGGTTTCGGGGAGCTCTGAGATTTATTTAAACTTGTTGAAAAGAAGGAGACAATGTTACCTTTAATCTGCCATAAGCGAAAAATGGTTAGAGTGAGATGCAGGAAGAAGGATAGAGACAAACAGATCAACAACAAAAATGAATAAGATAGATTTATAACTACAGTATTAGTAATCATGATAAACAGTTTGACAGCAAAAACTCGCTAAAGTTTATTTAACAAATGAGCAAATGAAATCTTTGAGGCAAAAAAATATACAAAGAGGGGTGTTAATATTTCCAAAGACTTTTAGAAGCTCACGCAACCAAAGCTTCACTTTCACTTTGACTAAATTGAAACTGAAACTAAATGTTCAGATATATGTGGATGTGGTTTGCAGAATGGAGTTGTATGACAAAGAGGAGAAGCAGCAGAAAGACTCAGACCTCTGAGTCTGCTCCACTTGACACCTGCACTTTGAAACCTCAAACATGGCCGGCAGATACAACTACTTATGTGGTAAGTCGCTGTGCTCGTGTTGTGTAAGATTTTTATATCCAACAGGAACAACAACAGAGGAGCCTGTATTTCAACCAGCATCTACAGTGAGTGACCATAGAACGGGAAGCAGTCAAAGCCTCCATTGATAATTTTATTAAATATAAAGGGAGTAGGTTAAGGGACTTCAACCTTTCTTTTTAAGTATTTAGAGAATGCAGAAATGTTGATGACTTTGAGGAAGCTAAAGATAGACAAGTTGTAAGTTGAAGAAGATTTTACTTATGCTATGTTTTTAACTGTGAAGATACAGACCTGGCAAAGCTATCAAGTTAAAAACCAGCATTAATAACACTATTTAAAACAGAATTACTGGAGCAGGAAAGATCAAGGGATTAAAATATTGTATCTAGGATTCTTCTTGGACCTTGAATGATGCTAATACAAAGCTTCAGAGTATCTCAACATCAATTCAAATCTAATTTTATCTATTCTTCCTTGCAGAAAAAAAAGAAATGATTTTGAGGATGGTGATGGTGGGGAAGACAGGAAATGGGAAGAGTGCCACTGGAAACACCATTCTGGGACAAAACTGCTTTGAATCAAAGTTCAGTTCAAAGTCTATGACTGTGGACTGCTCTATTGGTGAAGGTACAGTAGATGGACAAAAGGTTGCCGTTATCGACACCCCGGGCCTCTTTGACACCAGGTTTGGCATGGACAAGACAGCTAAAGATATCACCCAGTGCATCTCTTATGCTCTCCCTGGACCCCATGTGTTCCTGGTGGTCATCAGACTGGGAAGATACACTGAAGAGGAGAAGCAGACGGTGCAAAGGATTCAAGAAATCTTTGGCCAGGCAGCGGACAGCTACAGCATGGTTCTCTTTACTGGAGGGGATCAACTTGACGAAGACCAAACCATTGAGGACTTCATGAATGATGACCAAGACCTGCTGGAGCTCGTGGACAGATGTAACAGCCAGTACCATGTCTTCAATAATAAGAAAAAAGATCCCTCTCAGGTCACTGAGCTGCTCCAGAAGATTATAAATATAGTCCAGATGAATGGAGGAAGCCACTACACCAACGAGATGTTCCAACAGGCTGAGAGGGCAATCGAGGAGGAGAAACAACGCATCCTGAAAGAGAAAGAAGAGCAAAAAAGAAGAGAGAAAGAGAAACTGGAGAAGGAACTTCAGGATGAATACGAGAGAGAGATGAGGGAAAGAAATAAGATTCTCAGGGCTGAGAGAGAGAGGGAACGGCAAGAGAGAGAAAGGGAAAGAAAGTTGGAGCAGCAGATTAGGGAGAGGGAGAGGATGGTGGAAATGGCAGAAATGGAAGCTGAGAGGAAGAGAGAGCAAGAGGAACAAGAGAGGGAGATAGAAAATATGAGAATGGTCCTCCAGCAACAACAGGAAAAAGCACTGGAAGAGGAAAGAGCGAGGTTGAGAAGGCAATCACAGCAACGAGATGAAGAGTGTATAATTCTCTGATAAGGTTATTTGTGTAAGTATTTTATGCAAACAGTAGGATAAATGGGAAGATAGAGATGCACCCATTGCAATTTCTTCAGACAATGCGTATTTCAGCTTTTTTCAAGGTCTGACCCGCTGATACCAATTTTCCGATTTTGTTTCTTTAAGAAATGATATTTGATAGTGGAATGTTTTTTTTTTAAACTGAAAATCAATTGTTAAAAATAAAATACTGGCTGTTAATATACTGTGTCAAACCCTTTATTTCCTGTATTCTTGTGTTTTTATGTCAGAATTTATGGTGGAAGTTTGAAAGTCTCTTCATCCCTCCTTCTATAATGTAACTCATTTGTCAGGAGGCCTAAGACCCGCCTCAGCTCCAGGTCTATGCCTGGTGTTGGGTTGACCAAAAGTTAGGTTAAGACAATATTTTCAATATGGCGACTGCCATCGACGGAATCCAAAAATCCCTGTCAGTCCTCCCCTTCAGCTGTCAGGCAGAAATCTGCCAAAGGGGAAAGAAAATTTACTTATTGAGTGTCTTGAAATAAGATGTAGACCAAGACCAAGGCAGGGCGAGGCCAAGACAGGACCAAGTACATAAACATCAATGTAAAATCATCAACTTGTGTGCAGCAGTCACTCACTTTGACCGGGGCATAAAAATCAAACAGCAAATGAATTGAAGTTATTTGTTTGTTCTGTTGAACTGACATCCATATGAGACGGTTATAGGTTTTCAGTTGGTTACCAATAGCATGACCAGTCCTAACTCAACAACGTGTAGGCCTACATGATATTTTTAAATGTTTGGAAACACTGACTACATTTTTTTTTGAATACATTAAGTCACTGCTAACCAAGATGCATTAATGACATTGAATACAATAAACTCTTACTGTGGAAACATTGGAACATGCTTTTCCATTTGCCTTTAATATGTGACCCAGTCCACAGTGTTATGTGGCTCTTGAAAGAACTGCTGCTATTTCTTGTAAATGCTGAGGAAGTGGAGGGTAAGTGGTGAGGTATCAATGGGATTTCCCAGAACCGAGTGAGCCTAGATAAACATATATGGGAGCAGTCTATAAATAAAGGGCTCATAATTAGTAATTTGAAACCGAAAGAGACTCAGCAGGGGAAACAAGGAAATTACAGTTCAATGGGTTTGAACTGGGATGTTGGTTAAATAATGATCATGACAGTTAATGAGTCGCAGTTAAGATTCACAATTAACAGGTCATGAATGCATTTTCAATGTGAAGCTCTTAAGTGTTAAAAGGAACTCTGCCAAGCTAACTGTACGAGGCAGCTTGCTTACATCACTGTGACTGTGGCCATTTAGTTCATGGCAACGCATACCAAGCTTTACTTTCACTTTCACAGTTTCACTTTCATTGTGACAAGCAATTTGTGGGTTGGTGCACAGAGACAGTATATAAGCAGCAACAGCACACACTCAGAACTCACTCTTCACTTCAACTGCACCTTCTTCTCTATTCTTTTCAGCTTGAACGTTGCTGACAATTACTACAACCTGAAAATGTCTACAGGTAAGTCATGACAATGAATCCATGACTTAAAGTTCAATAATTTTGCAGCAGTTAATCAAATCTTTATGCTTATTTTTTACATCTGAAATGTTAGAATACATTTAAGATTTTTCAGTTACAAAAAAATGTTTCTTTGGCATTTGATGACTGATAAAAAAAATTAAAAACTTGTGACATGAGTCTGGTTCTGTTTCTGCTTCTTACCTGAGAGAGGCATTGTCTAGAGAAGGGAGGGACGATGCTGAAGGGGAAACATAAAGAGACTACATTAACAAATTAAGTTTTTTCTTGCCACTGTAACTTTGCTAAATGTTGCTTAGTGCTCATGATGGATTAATGTTGGGTCTTTGTAGAAAATATACCAAAGAGTAAGGTATTTTACCTCCTGTTTTGTAACATAACAAAGAGTAAGGTCTCGATTGATTTTTCAGTTTTATATCAGTTAATAGTTATATAAAGTTATATAAGTTAGTCTTGAAAATGTGTTTGAAATTTCCTTATGTGTTGTGTGTGAACAGCTGATGTACATTAAAGTTCATCCTCACTCTTTCACACAGGATACAGCAGAACAAATAACCAGGAGCTGAGAATGGTGATGGTGGGGAAGACCGGCATTGGAAAGAGTGCCACTGGAAACAACATCCTGGGACGAAAATGCTTTGAGTCCAAGTTCAGTTCAAAGTCGATGACTGAGGACTGTTCTAAGGGCAAAGCTACAGTAGATGGACAAAAGGTTGCTGTTATTGACACCCCGGGCCTCTTTGACACCAGGTTTGGCATGGACAAGACAACTGCAGATTTAAGCCAGTGCATCTCTTATGCTGCTCCTGGACCCCATGTGTTCCTGGTGGTGATCGGACTGGGCAGATTCACTGCAGAAGAGAAGCAGACAGTGCAAAGGATTCAAGAAATCTTTGGCCAGGCAGCAGACAGATACAGCATGGTTCTCTTTACTAGGGGGGATCAACTTGACGAAGACCAAACCATTGAGGACTTCTTAAATGATGACCAAGACCTGCTGGAGCTCGTGGACAGATGTAACGGCCAGTACCATGTCTTCAATAATAAAAAAAAAGATCCCTCTCAGGTCACTGAGCTGCTCCAGAAGATCAGAAGTATTGTCCAGAAGAACGGAGGAAGCCACTACACCAACGAGATGTTCCAAGAGGCTGAGAGGGCAATCGAGGAGAAGAAACAACGCATCCTGAAAGAGAAAGAAGAGCAAATACGCAAAGAAAGAGAAGAACTTGAGAGGGAAGTACAGCAAAAGTATGAAAAGCAGATGAAGAAGATCAGTGATGAACTCCAGGCTGAGAGAGAGAGAGAGAAACAGGAGAGGATGAGGGAGAAGCAGGAGATGACCGAGGAGAGAAAGAGGGAGAAGGAGGAGAGAGAAGCAGAGAGAAAGAGAGAGAGAGAGGAAAAAGAAAGACAGCTGAGTGAATTAAAGGAAAAGTTTGACAGTGATCTGAAAGACCAGATGCAAAATCTGCAGAACCAGCATGAATCTGCGGCCAGAGACGAAGCAGAGCATTCTAATCCGTTATATTTTCTGGTAAAAGCTGGCCAAAGTATTGTTAATGGTGTGAGAGAATTTGGAAAGGCATTGAAAAGCTTGTTTGGGTGAGCGGTCCCACTTTCATGTGGTTGAGAACAACATGCCCACAGTTATCTTATCTGCTTGAAGGATGAAATGATTTGTATTTTCCAACTATGCCACATTATTGTATGTTTTTATTAGAGGTTCAAATGATATCAATTCATTACAAACATTACGTTTGACTTAATTATTTTTATTGTCTTTGAACAATGGTGCTTTATTCTCTGCTTTACTGTTATCCATCATATGATAAAAATGTTCTCACTGTCATCTGATGACCTTTCGGCTTTTCTTCAAATATGTTGACCTCTGCCAATGTTTGTATGAAAAGCCTGTTTAATCTAATGACTGTGATCGTTCCAAGCTTGAATAATTCCTGTCATCTCTTATGTAAGAGCATGTTCAGGAAAAATTGTGTTAAAAAAAAATCAAGAAATAAAGATGTGAAAATCTGACTTAATCTTTTTCTGAGTTATATTTAAATCAGGGATGTAATTGGTAAATAAGGAATATATACCCTCCACCCACACTGCACAACAGAAGTACAAAAAAGTCGTAGTAAATACTGACGTTTCTCAAGGGGTTTTGCATCTCATAAAGATGACAAAGTTATAATAATGTTTTAGACAAAGTGCAAAGAAGGTGACAACAGTGAAATGTTGTCAATGTGTTGAATTAACACATTGAAGGAGTTCACATACAATTGTTCTGTAATTATAAACAATAAATTACCGTATTTTGGGTGCAGTCTAAAATAGTGACTTACGGTCAACAATATATTCAGTTGTTGATATAAAAATATTATTATTAAAGAATCCCAATGGTCTTTTTTGCATTTACAGGCTGTGCTGCCCTCTTGTGGTAAAATCAAATTATAACAAACAATGTTCCATAAAACTTTAATTATAACATGATCCCAATAAACACCAGGCCCCTTTTACTAGCTGTGTGCGGCTGCATGTTTTATTCAGTCAAAAAGCAGATGCATGGAGTGCTGCATGGGTGTTGAAAAAAGTTTGGATAATTTGTCCTTCTGGTGCTCTTCAGTGAGGGCATCCAACTTAGAAGCTTTTGAAGAAGTTTGAGGCACTGAGAGAGTTAAGCATAAAAAGCCTTTAATTCATCAGGGCAATAGATTCATAAAAAAATGCCAACAAGTTTCAGCCATATAGGCCTTCATCAGGGCAGATACAAAATGGCCGCCAAGCTACTTCCTGTAAAGGTTTAGAGCAAGTCACATGATCAGAAGTAGCCACATAGTTTAGTAAAAAGGTTACACATTTGAACAAAGAAAGTTAAACATCAAAATGTATACATGATACCAAGGCAGATGACAATTACAATATTTAAAAGTGACTAAATATACAAGCAAATGACTCAAAATTGCTAAAAAAAACAAGCTTAGTAGTATATGATAAATAGCTGAAATTTTTGAAGAGTTACAGCTGCCATGATGAACCTCTTTAGAATGTAAGGACCTTGGATATTGTGGATTTTCTGTACTAATGACATGTTTGTGTTCAGCCAATCTTGCCGTCAGTTCACCAGAATGAACATGGATGAACATTTCTGGCTTTCCACTGTCACCCAGCCATGTCTCAGTGTTGTCTAAAGGTCTTACGTTTGCAAAAAAGATTAAGTTAAAGATGTGATCGGAGAAAAGATACAAACAACACTTTACTTTCCCATTGAGTTTGAGTCCTCCTGTGAAACCAGAACTTAAGTTGGACTTTGAATATAAATTCACACCATGAATATCTTAACTTAACCAGTCTTTGCCTTACCGTGTCCAAACATTTTATAAAAACTGCAGTTTGTGAAGTGGCTGCTCGAGGCTGACTAAAAACGTATCCCCTTACAGGCCCAATATTACATGGCTCAACTTTACAGCAGAGCAGAGGTGTAAAGAGTACTAATATATTCTACTCAAGTAAAAGTACTGTTACTTTGCTAAAATTTTACTTAAGTACAAGTAAAAGTACCAGTTTATAAAAGTACTCAAGTAAAAGTAAAAAGTAAGTTGTTTAAAATGTACTTTAAGTAGACGTTACTTAGTTACTTTTTTAAACAAAGCATCTCTTGTGTGTCGTGAAAAAAGGACGAGAGGATATTAATCTCAAAGTTTTTTTTAATTAAAGGCAAATCTTAGCAAAGATTGATCTTTTCAGATAAACATATTATTTTCTACCCCATTGACAAAAACAAAATATAGCCTACATAATGATGGATAAATAATAAAGGATTATATGTTCAAGTAATCAGCCGTTTTATGAAGGGACATGATTAAGCTATTTAAGAAAATACTAAAAGGGTCTTTGTCTCAATCATAAACAGTGTAAAGAGTATTGTTTTTGGTTTTATTATTCTGAGGCTGGTTAGTCTCAAAGACAGCCCCAAAGACTGATTTAGCTGCAACTAAACCTGAGATGAAAGATAATCCATTTATTGTTTTAAAATGAGCCTGTATGAGCTTATAGCCTATTAGATGTTTTAGTCATTGTTTGTTTACCTATTAGCTACTGAAGCTTCTAACTGAATCTGTTTGGTTTGAAGTATTTATTTTCACACATCTGAGATGTGTTAAGTTGCAGCAGCTTATAACACCCAACATCCTCATACGGCTGCTTCAAAATAAAAGCACATCACAGAGCTGTCAATAAGAGATTTGTATTGTGAAAACCATTCCGGAACTAAATGTGTTTATCGCTCGGAGCTGCAGCGAGAGAAAAAGCATTCTCAGCCACTTGTTTGTCCAGCCAACTTATTTGAATCAAGTTGGACTTAAGACAACGAGACATACGTTTATTAACACCTTCAGCAGGTAGACCCGCTGTAGTGGGGGTGCTTATCCGTGCTGCACTGTAGCTGAAGTGGCACCGAGCCAAGAAAAGGGTCTCTGTCTCTCTGCCTCTGGTCGCTCCGGTGCGATGAGGTAAAATCATTAATAGCAGGCCTATTATTTTTTACTCAGTAACGGATGTGATTTAAAATGTAGCGAATTACAATACTTAACAGAAAACCTACACAAGTAAAAGTAAAAGTACAGATTTTAAAAACGACTTAAAAAGTAGTAAGTAGGCTACACCAAAAAAACTACTCAATTACAGTAACATGAGTAAATGTAGCCCTAATTCTTTAATTTGCACCTCTGCAGCAGAGTCATATATGGTCTTAAATATGGTTTTGGTCTTTATAGTGCATCTTATTTATTATAATAACTAAGCTTTGACTACATTTTTCTAAAATGACAGAGGCCAAATTCTGAACTTGAGGAGTTATTTCATACCCCAATGGGTGACATCATGTTGGCTTCATCCATTGTTTATATTGTTAATGATGAACTGACGACCATATGAGACGGTTATAGGTTTTCAGTTGGTTACCGATGACTTGACCAGTCCTAACTCAACAATGTGTAGGCCTACATGATATTTTTAAATGTTTGGAAACACTGAATACATTTTTTATTGAATACATTAAGTCACTGCTAACCAAGATACATTAATGGTGTTGAATACAATAAACTCTTACTGTGGAAACATTGGAACATGCTTTTCCCTTTGCCTTTAATATGTGACCCAGTCCACAGTGTTATGTGGCTCTTGAAAGAACTGCTGCTATTTCTTGTAAATGCTGAGGAAGTGGAAGGTAAGTGGTAAGGTAACCAATGGGATTTCCCAGAACTGAAACTGAAATAAAGGTCTCATAATGACTCATTTGAAACAGAGAGAGACTCAGCAGGGGAAACGCAAAGTACAGTTCAGAGGGTTTGAACTGGGATGTTGGTTAAGTAACGATCATGACAGTATGGGGTGCCGATTGTAAAGTTGCGCACGCTACAAATAACAACAACATTTCTTCACATTTAGCCCTAAAACATCACTTTTTATTCACATTTAGAGAAATATTTGTGAACTTTGTCATATTTACTTTTGTGAATAAAAATGTAAGATAATTTCATTGGCAAATATAAATGTTAAATATTATATCTAAATGTTGAATGTTTTATCTAAATGTTAAATGTTATATATAAATGTTAAAAATACATGTCCTGATTCTAAACATTTAGTTTACATTCTAAATATTTAGCTTTGATCCTATATATTTAGCTAAGATTGTGAATATTTAGCAACTATTTCTAAATATTTAGCTAAGACTCTAAATATTTAGCAACGATTTATAAATATTTGACTGTACAAATGGGGTGGGGGCCCAATATATGCCTAGTTTGAAATACATCTGTAAATTTAAAATGAACAAAAAAAATGGTGAGAGGAGAAAAGATCTCCACATATTCAATATTTAGTTATCTGAAAGGTTTTATGAGTTTTAGTTCTGCTTAGTCGGCTAATGCAACAACATTATAATAATAGCAACCTAAAAAACATTTCAGACGTTTTGCATCACCTTCTCTGTCTTACCATTGACAAAAGGTGAGGCTAAACTAAAGAGCAGTAGAAATGTTGTGTTTGTGAAGTTACATCCACTAAAATGTGAATAATTTACTTTGAATTCATGCTTTTGCTCGTCAAAGTAAGATCGAATGCGTTTTTTAGAGGCCTTCTTTATTTTAGAAATTGCAAGTCAGCCTCCACGAAGGCGGGTTACCATGGAAACAAAAAATGTCCGCAGTGCGAACGCCACCAAACACAAGAGCGCGTCAACCAATCACAGGCGGGAGACGACACAGTGCTATTTGCATACAGGCTGTATAAGAAAACGAGCTCTCTTACCCAACTTTACAGATCAGCTTCATCATGCCTGAACCACCAAAATCCGCCCCCAAGAAGGGTTCCAAGAAAGCCGTCGTCAAGTCCACCAGCAAGACCGGCAAGAAGAGACGAAAGACCAGGAAGGAGAGTTATGCTATCTACGTGTACAAAGTCCTGAAACAGGTTCATCCCGACACCGGGATCTCCTCCAAGGCCATGGGTATCATGAACTCCTTCGTGAGTGACATCTTTGAGCGTATCGCCGGGGAGGCTTCCCGTCTGGCTCATTACAACAAGCGCTCCACCATCACCTCCAGGGAGATCCAGACCGCTGTCCGCCTGCTGCTGCCCGGAGAGCTGGCTAAGCACGCCGTGTCTGAGGGCACCAAGGCCGTCACTAAGTACACCAGCTCCAAGTAAACCTGCTGATTTATCAGCCAAAAAAACGGTCCTTTTAAGGGCCACCCACCTTGTCAACTAGGCGCAATAATCCTGAAAGTGTTTAAAAGATTTATTTTCCAATAGTTTATTCATCAATGACTAATTATTTTAAGACTATGAAAACTTTCTGTATTAAAAAAGAGATGTATGTTAAGTTCCCGGGCAAATTCCGTTTCTCTCTCACTGAGGTTTTGGATAACATTAAATTACTAAAACTCATGTGGGGATGCATTGGCTCTCATGTTTCTGCTGCGTGTGTGTGTGAGCCTTTCATTATGTCTGAGTGCTTAATCACAGACTCAATTACACCAATTAATACCACAAAAAATTAAGTTAAACTGAGTTGAGCCCTGAAAAATAACTGAAAAGATTTTTTTTTTTTTTTTTTTTTTTTTTTTTTTTAAATCAATTGAACAGTCTGAATGTCTTTCACATTAAAATTACCACATCATACTTTTGCCCTTTAATGAGAAATAAGCGGTTAGTGTAGATACCCTCACCCCAAATATGGGCAACTGAAAAGTTACTTAACCTATACCCTATGGACCTGAGATGCAGACTCTGTTGAAGCGAGCTCAAACAAACAAAATCTACATTTCCTTTAACGAACACTTACAGGTACATCTGAAAGTGAGTGCACAATGAGGAACTCGGAGGAAACAAAATCATTAAGTGCTAACCAGCAGCTTTATAGGTGTTGTTTCACACCAACACAACGAAAGGTTAGACATGTGAAGTTTTAGAGAAACACACAGACACTGCTTTTAATTCTGCTGATCTTAAACTTAATAAAAAATATTACTACAAGACTTTCTTTCTTTGTCGTAAAAGCAAGTACTTCCAGTCCAAAACTACGAGTCAGACATTCAGGATGTATTTCCTCTATTAGAAATGTTATAAAGACGTTAACATCTAAATTCTTGAGCACAGAGAAAAGGACCGGAGTTATATCTGAACATTAACTTAGCTTTTGTGTGAGGAGCAGGTCAGTGAGTGATGTTAGACAGATTTATATAACGTTTATATGCACAATAAAAACATATACAGAAAAACAAAGATTGACAAAAAGGTGCAGTAAGATGCAGAAAACACAGACCATATTGGAAGCCTCCACCTAAATTATGTCAATATTATAAAAGAAAACGTTGTACTGCTCATAAATAATCTACTAACAGTAACAAAGGGTACTTGTGCCCTAACTAAAGGATAAGTGCTCAATGAAGACCCCCTAACACTTTTTTTTTCTTGTGACAAAATCATTTTACTTGTCACAGTTAATGATTGTTAGTCTACAACTAAACAGACACTCAAGACATATTTCCTCCATTAGAAATGTTATGAAAACTTTAAAAGCCTATCTAAATTCTTGGCACAGAGAGAAGGAGCAGAGTTATATCTGAACATTTTTAATTTAGCCCACCAGCTTTGTAGTCTGATGCACTGAACTATAAATGTTACTGACAGACTGTTTATTCATTTGTTTAGAAAATAATAATCATTAGGGCTTACTACAGTATCAATGACATTCAAACGGAAAGCAGCAAATGAGAAGTTTATGAGTGAGTGTGCAACATCTGTTTTTACATTTGTACTGACCAGAGCAAAAATAAGACTAATAAAGTAATTAATATAAACAACATGAATAAAGACTGTAATTAAAGAACAGAAGAATGTCCTTTCAATTTACAGAGAAACTGTTTTTTTTTTTTTTTTTTGCCAGGTGGGAATACAGAGGCCTTTTCACGTAATTCACTGCCTCTAAGTCTCTTTGAAGAATTGACTTCTGCAAGTGAGAATGGATCTGTGAATTTAGAAAAGTAAGTCTTGAGGTGCTCAGGTATATTCACCTGGTTGGACCACCGTCCTGATATAGCGTTTTTAGGAGCAGAATTTGATGGATGATTGTCTTTGAGTGTTTGCACTGGTATTATAGGAACCTGATGTTATTTATATACTTTACTATAATTTTGTACTAAATAATGTTTATCATTTCATGTCATGTGTGATGTGAATAATGTTGAGTGTTGTCATTATTTAGGTAGCTAAACCATTATTAGCATCTCATCAACAAACAGAAATTTGAATAATTAAATATAGCCTAGCAAATATCTGATCACAAGTTGTGAACTAAAGCAAAGACTCAAATTTTCAGAGTCACTCTGAGCTTTCATAACAAACTTACATAGAAGCTCACTTTCTTGAACTAAGATTGGTTTTCAATCACAGCTTATATCATCAAATGAGAATGAAACTCTCAGGTTTGTACTGAATTAGGCCTTTGTATGAGTTTGCAATGGTACAGTCTTTATGTTATGTAAACAAAGCTTCTCACATTTTTCAGGCTGTACTGATTAGTTTAGGGTTCACATTGCTTTTGATAATTGGAATGTTTAATTTCTGCACATGGCAGAAATTCCTGAAAGTTACAATGGAATTGATGTTCTTGTTGATCACGTCACTGATAACCATGCATTTTATTTCCTTTCCACTTTTTGACCTTTTTGATTCTCTGCTACAGACTTAAACCAGCAATAGTTTAGAAGGCACATAGACTACAACTGAGTGAGAGTTTAGTGTTACAAGTAATTTTAACTCCTATCCAAGTCTTAAGCATTAAGATTTTAGCTCATTTGAAGTTATGTGGGTGGCTCTTAAAAGAGCCGTTGTGTTTATTTAAGCCGGTTGTGGGTGTTTATTTCTTTGCGGCTTTTTCTGTCTTCTTGGGCAGGAGAACAGCCTGGATGTTGGGCAGCACGCCGCCCTGAGCGATGGTCACTCCTCCCAGCAGCTTGTTGAGCTCCTCGTCGTTACGGACAGCCAGCTGCAGATGACGGGGGATGATACGGGTCTTCTTGTTGTCACGGGCTGCGTTACCGGCCAGCTCCAGGATCTCAGCGGTCAGATACTCCAGCACGGCCGCCAGATAGACGGGAGCACCGGCTCCCACACGCTGAGCATAGTTTCCTTTGCGGAGCAGTCTGTGAACACGACCGACCGGGAACTGGAGTCCGGCCCGAGAAGAGCGAGTCTTTGCCTTTGCTCTGGCTTTGCCGCCGGTTTTACCTCTTCCACTCATTTTGGGATATTCTTTCTTGAGTTAAAGCTCAGAGAAATGATGCTCGATACTCGGCTACAACCGGCTTTATAAGCCCACTGAGCGCGCGGGGTCGATCCGCTGGACCAATCAGAAAAGAGGCCTCTAGTGGGGCAGCAGAGGGCGGACCACTTCAAGATTTGGCGGACAGTTTGAAAAAAAAATTCTCCAATTAGCAGCGGAGATTGAGGCAGGGGCTCGTGCTGCATTCATGTGATGTCGGTAACATCAAAAACAAGTTTCCGAGTTGTAAAATGCGCATGAACACCTGCTCGAGTTGGAACAACAACTCGAAAAATAATTAGGTGCCCGACTTGATGACAGAGTCGTCATCACCTGGGGGCAAAATATGTTTTGTTAATGTTGTTAATGGTAACATACTTTTTATTAATTCATGTAGGCCTATTGCACATACAAGGTTTGCTCAAATGTAACTTTTAACAGTTACATTTCACTGATCTTCTTGAATCAACGCTGTTTTGTGCTGTTGTTACAATATTTAGACTTTTCGTACTGAAATAACGACTTCTAGAGTCGGAAATTTGACCACCCGAGCAGCACTTGAATGCAGCATCGCTCCCCCCGGCTGGGCTGAGCTGGAGGAGCAGTCCGTGACCAATCAGAGGCCAGAGCTCTGAAGCAGCGTCACAGTTTCCACATCCGCTCCTCCGCTTTAAGAGCAGCTCGTCTCCGCTGCTTTCAATACACTTTTTCTCCTATTCAGAGAAAGAAGAGAAGATGGCAAGAACCAAGCAGACCGCTCGTAAGTCCACCGGAGGCAAAGCCCCCAGGAAGCAGCTGGCCACCAAGGCTGCCCGTAAGAGCGCCCCGGCCACCGGCGGCGTGAAGAAACCTCATCGTTACAGGCCCGGTACCGTGGCTCTCAGAGAGATCCGTCGCTACCAGAAATCCACCGAGCTGCTCATCCGCAAGCTGCCCTTCCAGCGTCTGGTCCGTGAGATCGCTCAGGATTTCAAGACCGACCTGCGTTTCCAGAGCTCCGCCGTCATGGCTCTGCAGGAGGCCAGCGAGGCTTACCTGGTCGGTCTCTTCGAGGACACCAATCTGTGCGCCATTCACGCCAAGAGGGTCACCATCATGCCCAAAGACATCCAGCTGGCCAGAAGGATCCGCGGAGAGAGAGCTTAAAATATCTGCTCCTTCAACAACATCCACAACGGCTCTTTTAAGAGCCACCTACCTCACACTAAAGACATTCATCCTACACAGACACTTAATGAGTATATGTACACAAATGTGATTAACCATATCTTAATTACAATTGTTATATTTCTATTCATTTAGTGCTAGACATACTAGAAAAACAACCTGAATGAACAAACAACACAAACAATAAACTGTTAGTAGATCCACATCTTCTACACCTGGTCATTTATCAACAATAATCAAAGTGCCTGTCCCACAGTCCAATGGGGTTTAGGGCTGTGAAATCCACCAATTTGTATTGTGCTAATAATCACCAACATTATCTCAATAGAAAGCATATAATATAGCCTATGTAACTGTTATATACACATACTAAACATTAATCTATGATCACTAAACATGCTGAGACTTAATATTACAAACAATAAAGTATACAAGGCTATCAGATAAATCCTGTAAATGATGTAAAACAACAAAATGTAAGATACAGAATTGAAAAGTAGAAAGTAAAGGTCACTCGGAGACAAAGATATCCAGCTGGCCTTAAGGCTCTGCGGAGGGAGAGCTTAAACTATCTAGACCGATAGATTCACTATATTGATCCCAAACTGGGAAATTGTGGATCTGTAGCTCCAAAACAATCCCAACGTAAAATAAATACAGAGGTCACTTGTGTCATTGTGTTTTACTTCATTTTAGATATTGACAATGTTAAAATGGGGTATACTTATAAACAAACACGGCAGGAGTCAACCAAGACAAAAAGTAAAACACAGTGAAGGGTAGAAATCTAATGATCAGCAGTTCAAACAAAATGGTCTTCAGGGCGATGGGCGGACCCAGGGAGGGGCAAGGGGAAGCAGTGGCTAACCCTATAGACAGCAACCCCCTACCACCCCCAAGAACTTTGTGTGTTTTTTTCAGTGTGTGAATACTATAATTTGTTATTTGAAAAATGAATTAATAGCCTACATAAATAAACCAAACATATTATAGACATAAGACATTAAACCAACACAGGTGATTTAGCCAATAGGTGCAGCAAGCATTGAACTTTGACCTTACTTCACTCCACTTCCTGTGGTTATTAGAGCACAATATGTAAGGGGAACATTTTTTATTGTTTTCTAGTCCCTAATAGTCCACTCAATCAAAACCTGGAATCGAGTGTGATGAACAAAATAGGGCTCATACATGTGATGATGACACTGAGGTGTGTTTACATATAGGTAGGCTTTTGACGTACATCTGTATCCCATGAGCTGAATATCTAGCCTTGTGTTAACCACAGAATGTTGCAGAGTGGGTTCCTGTGTGCGCACACGTGTGTGTCAAGGCCTCCAGCGTTGCAGTGGAAATTAAACTGGTGACCGACATCTTAATTCTCAGAGAACCCTCGCTTAAAAGTTGAGCAACCCCATAGCACCAGCAAAAAAAAAATCCCTGGCACCGCCACTGTTCAGGGCCTTTGGTGTTGGTGGGATAACTCGGAGCTTGAGGAGGAGCACAGGGCTTTATCGGCAGTTTGGTGTCGGCAATGTCTTCTCAGCAGTAGATTGTATTTCTTACTTGACATATATGATGACTGTGCAAACATGTGCCCAATCATTCCTCAAAACATACAGCCGCACACAGCTAAAAAGGGGCCTGGTGTTTAATTGGGATCATGTTATAGGCCTAAGTTTTATGGAACATTGTTTAATGTGATTTTACCACAAGATGGCAGCACAGCATGTACGTGCAAAAATGACCATTGGGAATAAATATATTCTGATCCAATGTTTAAAAAAATATATGGTAATGTTGGTGTGGTTCTTGTTTTTCATATTTTTTATACAAATTGTAACACTGTACATCCAAATATTGATACCTGTCTTGATACCTCACAAACTAAAGTGGAAGTCCTGTATGCACCCAAAACTGGGTAATTTATTGATTTTAATTTAAAAAAAATGGCAATTGAACTCCTTCACTGTGTTAATTGAACACAATGACAACATTTAAACCGGAGCATTGCAAATTTATTTGTTTAACTTCTTCAGCTTCTTTGCTCTTTGTCTATTTGTATTATTGTAACCTTGTCATCTTTATGAGATACAAAACCACTTGAGAAACGTCAGTATTTACTACAACTTTTTTGTACTTCTGATGTGCAGTGTGGGTGGAGGGGATATTTTCCTTCACAACACATTACATCCCTCATTTAAATATTACTCAGAGAAAGGTTAAGTCTCAATCTAACATCTTTATTTCTTTATTAGTTAAACACAATTTTCCTAAACATGTGTTACAGGACTCAGTCTGCAACGGCACTTATAATGTAGAAAACGTTCACTTTATCACTCCACAGGCAAGGATGGCAAAAAATACAAGCTGTCGGTAGGCCCTACATCAGCACCATGCGCATTGCGCACAATTCATTAGCAACGCAAACTCAGACTGTTTACTCAAACCACTTCTTTAAAGGGCCCATATTATGCTTTTTCTGCTTTATATGCTCTTTAGTGTGTTTTCCAAGTGTCCTGTGCATGTTTAGGCACATCTATTTGCAAAAATTCAAAGTCTGTGTAAACGCAGCTTCTCCTACGTCCTCCTGTTAGCTGCAGCATTAGCTGCATGTAACGCTCGCCCCCCCCCTCAAAATAAATTGCCAGTGTGACGTCTTGTCAGTGTGATATCACTGATCTAAGCTCATTGGCTCCTTGTGGCAAACCCAGCAGCTCATGTTGTACGCCCGTTAACTTCTGTAGCACGCCCACAATATGCCGTAGCCTGCGGTAGCACAGTAGTGCTAAGGTGCTAATGTTTATGCTACCCTCGGACGGAGCCAGTGGCTGCATTCCCAATATGGTAAAAGGGGCGGGACATTTCCGAGAACCGTGCTGAGCGACTGACCAATTACGGCAGAGTTGACAGGCCAACCAATCAGATCAGACTTGGCACGTGAACGTGGGCACTTCAGAGCCTTAGAGAGAGAGTCAGAAGCGAGCAGGTGCATGGAGCGGCAGTACATGAAAACAGACACTTTTTTTGAACTTAAGCTATTGTGAACATAATTTAGTAGGTTCATAGATTAAATATATGAACCCCAAAAAGGGCATAATATGGGCTCTTTAAGTTTCACGTTCCTGTGCAGCAAAAGAGCTTACACTGCCACCTGCTGGCAAATGTAGAAATGCCTCACTGAACAGAAGCTATTAATGACAGAATGTATTTAACAACATGTTAAATAAAAGTGACTGGGCATAGATTACAAAACCAGTACTTTGACGGGTGATTCACAGTCGCTACACTCAGCTTCTCCTCTTGAGTGAATCTGCCCAGTCCGATGACCACCAGGAACACATGGGGTCCAGGAGCAGCATAAGAGATGTACTGACTTTAATCTGCAGTTGTCTTGTCCATGCCAAACCTGGTGTCAAAGAGGCCCGGGGTGTCAATAACGGCAACCTTTTGTCCATCTACTGTAGCTTTGCCCTTAGAACAGTCCACAGTCATCGACTTTGAACTGAACATCCCGGTCTTCCCCACCATCACCATTCTCAGCTCCTGGTTATATGTTCTGCTGTATCCTGTGTAAAAGAGTGAGGTTCGTTCAGTGAATGAATCACTTACTGACTGAGAGGAAGAGAGAGACTCATAAAGTAGCCTAAGCCCATATTAAAAAATAAATATTATTATTTTTTTATCATTTTTTTGCCCTGCGTATATAATTTAAAATATAACTGTTCTGGCATAGGATATATTCGTTGCCATGCATATTTTCTGCTGACATGTAGCCTATATTAAGTTAAATTAATTGTCATTCATAATGTTTGCAAACTGAAAGCTGCTTTAACAGGCACATGCTTTCGCACATTGGAGTTCTCCTGGTCTGGCCAACTCGTCTAGTGTGTGCGTTTGGAGTGTTTATTATTAAAAATCTGAGGAAACTGTCTGTGGTCTCTCATATTCTTAAAATCAGTTAAGATTTGTAACTCGTTAGTGTGTGGCCAGCTTTAGTGCAATAATCAGCCTTCACTATGGATTTCAGATATGCACAAGTACAGCTAGAGTTCAGTTTTTTCTCTGTTCCTCTTCAGAGGACTTTCCCCTTCCTTGTGGAAAACTTTCCCATCGCTCCACTCTCTCCACTTCAGACGGACTCCGCTCAATCCATTCTCCTTCAGCCTGTCCTGGAACTGGAAAACACAAAGAGAAACAATTTTTAAACATTCACTCCAATCTGTTTTGTTAGTTGGAGGGGAAACAGGACAGAACAACAGTCAAACAAACAAACTAACAAACAATACAAGCACCACAGGAATTCAACCAATTCAAATTTGTGTTAAAAATGCAGACTTGCCTTTTTTAAGATGTCTGCTCTCACAGCAGGATCATTCAGATCCACAGAGGAGTCCTCCGGCTTCATTCTCACCTTTATAAACTGTTTATGAGCTGGTGCACAGAAATAAAGAAGACAAATGTGTCATGGATGTATTGTTTTTCTGCTTTCATACTTGCACAAAACTCCTGAAAACTAGAGGTTAGCTGCATGTGTGAATGTATAAAGACATGAGAGAGCAGGAGCGGATGATGACTTGTATTCTGAGACTGGTGCACAACTCATATAAATGAACATTGACTTCTCACATAGTTAGGTATAGGCTAGTATAACAGTAGTTTTGTTTATACGTTATGCTTTTTCTCTCTTAAACCAAAGCACATGTTAAACACTTACCACTGTTGTAGCACACAAATGGGAATCGCTTTTCACAGGACACTGGCCTCCATTTTCCTGATAATTGCAAATCCACAGCGCCACATATCACACTCATGGAGGCTAACAGGTTTGAACCTCCATCCCAGAACCGGAACGACGAGTCACTCCCATCAGACCAGTAGCTGTCAGGATCTTTGTACAGACCAATCCATGCCCAATCCTTACTCCATGCCCAATCCTTAGTCAATCCCCACTTACTTGGCCGCAGTTTGTGGATCTTCTGGTTCTCTATGTCGTTTCTCACAGTTGCCAGGTCTAAGAATTTTTCCCTGCAGTACCTCTGAGCATTGGACCAATCCAATCTTTCATTGACATGAACAAATTCAGGATCCTGTTGTGTTCCTGCAATAACAGTTTGAAAGTGTTTAGTCCTTATAGTAAACTTTAAGATAAACCTGCCTTAAAACCAAAATATTTCACGTCTCCTCTTACCTCTGTAACAAATGAATTGAATCTTGGAAGAGCATTCATAATACAACCATCTTCCATCATCTTCAATAGCCACACAGAACTGATTACCATGGAAGTCGGGTTCTTTTTTAGCTTCCCAGTTTCTAAAATCAGCCCCACTGCCATTGTAGCCGTCCGACCATTTCCATGTGATTTTACTGTACATGCCGATCCAGGTCAAATAATTTTGATAAAGTGAAGGGACTGTGGATATAAGTTGCTCCATTTCTTCCATGTTTTCGATAGTGGCCAGGTCTGTGTATACCTCTCTGCAGTAGGTTTGAGCTTCAGTCCAAGTCATGGGCTTGGCAACATACTGGTACTTAGGGGGAAGGTACAAGGAGACAATCCAGCCTGTGAGAACAAGATAAACCCAAACAGCTGAGATAAGACGTTTTCACATACGCTGTCTTGAGAGTTTCAGTATAGGATAGCCCCTGAAATCCTCCTGATCTGGTTCCATACATGCACCTCACAGCGGGAGACTGTCCCTGTTGGATGGAAGGGGGGCAGGGGGTCTTTAGCAAGACATCACATGAAAAGAACAACGTGGAAGTGGCACACAAAGAAACAGAGTCCACTAGACAATGCTGTAAGGTGAATATTTTGCCTTTATAACAATGCTATGTGTAGTTTGACAGAATCACAATATCAACAAAAGAGTGGAGAAGAACAAAAATGGAGAACAGAAAAAAAATCAGTTTGCTTACATGCTCTGAAATCGTAACAGTCTCATGCATGCAGTCTTTCACCATGCACCGAGTGCAGGGAACAATTAAGCGTCACTAGCCCCTTCACCCACTCAAGGTGAATTCTCTTGATTATATCTTGCTGCGTTCTCGCATCAGCTCACTCTGAAAATATATCACAAAAAGAAAAGCTATCACAATGTCATTTGAAATCTTATTCTCATTTAGCCTACTTGTTTCGATGACTGCCCCCTGTTAGGGGTCTGGACAATCGTCTGCCAAACTGCTTAAGTTTTCGTGGTACTACTAACAAAGTATATGTATATTTTTTTAAATTGATCACAAGTACAACACTTGTGATCAATTAAAAAAATAACACGCAGTCAGAAATCAACAGAGGGAAATTTACTGACCTGAGAAACACAGGACACACAGGAACGTCCTCTCCATGGTGCTCTGAGGATTGATGTGACACTCTAAATAAACAATATCAGTGAAACCATCAGGCAAATTTAGGGAAATTCAAAACCAGCTCCTTTCCTCTGTATCAAAAGTCCACAGTGCTGTTAAGTTCATTATGCAGCTGTAAGTTTAGTTATGGGTGATGTAATGAAAATGTGGATGAAGGCCTGACATGTTTGTCCCTTTCATTTGAAAACAACTGTCAATATGCAGTGTCAAAAATCTAAAAATGATAGTCCTCCTGACTGAAAACCATTAAGTATGAATAACTGACAAAGTCTGGGCAGCCAGAATATTCTTCCAACCACAAGTTCATTTTAAAACATTTCTACTTAAAAGTGATGATCTCTAAAGCTGGAAATCAGCTGGATGCAAAATGCTGGGAAATGCATCCACCCTTAAACTCTGCAGACTCTACAAAGACAAACGCTTCCAGCTCATTTTTTTTTTTAACCTGTTTTAGTCATAATTGTGCATTAAATTACAAGTGATAGTCTTTGTGAGTGAAAAACAGAGGGATGCATTTCAGCATGACAGAAGACTTGTGCTGCAAGACAATATGCATCCACTGTGCTGCATACACTCAAAAGATTCCTTTTTGGACACAAGACTGTTACAAGCTCATAATCTGGGGTTTTGTTGTTGTTAGAATGAAGATTTAATTACAAGTGTGATGGTCTTTTAATCTTATATTAACAAAAGATGCTGCCAGAAAATGAATGCTTTACAGACTCCTTCACTAACATAATCAGTCCATCCCATTTCATCATCATTAAATAGTGTTTATATTACACCTATCAGTCTATTAACTTACTTACTAATACAACACATCCTTTAACATTATTACTGACATGTTGCTAAATATTACTTATTCATTGTTGTCATTGCTCTGTCTGTCTCTATACTTCCTTCTGCATCTCTCTCTATCCCACTCTCCAAGCCCAACACAGTTTGCCACTGTGACTTTGCTAAATGTTGCTTAGTGCTCTGGATTAATGTTGGGTCTTTGAAGATAATATAACAACGAGTAAGGTCTTCATGGTTTTTGTAAAGTGTCTTGAGATAACATTTGACGCCATACGAATAAAGATTGATTGATTTGAACCGAGTGATTTGTGTGTTGTTGCAGATTGAACTGGCATATAGACCAGATAAATGTTTAATCACATGTAGCACGGCCGTGTGATGTTAACCTGCAGGGAGGACCAAGCTGGTTGTGCTAGCACTGCTAACGTTAGCCACACTCTGCCTACACTCTGAATTGCCCTCATTCTTTCAAGGTTAAAATGACATATAGTAATTTGTTAACAGTTGATGTTGCTACTCTACATTAGCTTGTTGAAAAATTGTTGATATTGTGTAAATATTAATGGACGAAGCCTGAGTGACGTCAGCCATCTGTTACTGCAGGGGGCTCTGGAGGCTCAACGGCAGCAGCCGCCATGCTGGAAATCCAGTCTCAGCCTAACCTTCAGTCAACTTAACAACAGACTGAGAGCTGGAGCTGGGGCGGGTTTTAATCCTTATGACGAAATTGCACCTACGTACAGTACAGTGTGTGCCCATGAGGAAACCTAGTTTTTTGGTACCAGGCTGTAAACTTGTTTCTGCTGTAAAAACAGGCTTTTATGGGTCTCCTCAACAAACTGCAGGATTTTACACATCTGCATAGGCTTAATTTTTCTTCACCGGAGGATGATGCTTGGTTTCAACCAATTTTTTACTTGAAAATCCTGGTATATATTCCAAGGGAATATATGATGTGTCATCTGAAACATGCTTTAATCTTCTTTTGCCACAAAACAAACAAATAATTATAAATGTCTGTCAGCCACAATGAGTCCATTTCAAATGATAGAATATTCAAATAACTCCAAACAAATGTTATATCAATGTTTGTCTTTCACGGAGATGAGCAGGGTCATAAAAACAAACATTTACTGGTTTTTAGATAAACACAATTTACAAGTTACTTTTCCATTTATTTTCCATGGATGACATGTTATCGTTTAATGTTTAATGTGTATTTATTTAAAAAAACAACTTCAAATGACTTTTTTCATACCACAAATGGGTGAATATGTGCAAATAATTACAAGATAATACTTAAACCATATAAAATGGAAAAATAAACCTTTGCATATCACAAGACAGGTGCATAGGAGAGCAATGTGTCCATTAAAAACTTGAAGATAAACTCCTGCACACTGTCTTGCAAACAAACATTTATTGGCAACGTTTCGGTACTAGACCTTCATCAGGCAGAAATACTTCCATATAAAATGGACTGGAGATGTTTTTTTATGTTTCTGGAGGTATAAGTCTTTTTTGGCCAGTGCGGATTGGCTGGTAACAGGGTATTTGTTATAACTATTCATTTTTGCAATTATTTGGCCATAGCAAATCCTGGCAATATATTCCTGAACATGTTCAGCACATTCACATCATTGCTACCATTTCATTTGCAATTTGGTTGTTGCATAAGGTTGTTTTTTTTCTTTTCTTTTTTTTTACTGGAATCATTTATTTAGTTCTTGGGCAAAGTTTGCTTCATTCACTGAGATTTTGGTTGAACAAATAAATAAAAATATATTTATTTTCAAACATAAAAATGCTGTGAAAAATGTTTAACACTAAAACAATGTGCTTTTAATTTAAAAAAATGTTATATTTTGTTCAATAATGATCATTTAAGATATTTTGTGGAGCCCCATCGGGGAGTTTTAATCCTGAATTTGTTTATTCTAATATGTTTCTAAAAAGTAATGAAATCATTTAATAAAGCCGTAGCCTAGCCGTACCTCGGTACTCACTTAAGATACAAATTGTAGCCTATAAACTATTTGCTCTCTACAGCTGAGATTATTCAGTATGTTTAAGAATCAAATTAAGTCGGTTTCTCCCTGCATATAACTGTTTTATTTTATGGATTTATTATGAAAATCAGCTGAAATGTTCACGGTGTCAGTGAGCAGTCTGACCAAACTGCAGCCCAGACCTCAGCCATCATCAGTGTGTTTGCTGCCATCAGAAAAACGTGATTTTATCATGAAGTGATCTTCAACAGATGTTTGTTTTCACTCTGAGTCTCTGAACAAACATCCGCAGCTGCAGGAAAACGACTTTTCATGGAGCTCTGATGTGATTTTAATGATTTTAGGAGAGAAATGAGCGTGAAAAGCCGCCGAGCAGAGCTGGTCGGGACGGTGAATGTGTGAGGTTTGGAGGCTCCACAAAGAAAAATGATCGAGCAGCAGAGCTCAACATGACTTCAATATGAAGAGACACAAGTCCCCTATGAGCTCCTTCACTTTCAGCCTTCAGCACGGCTCCTACATTTAGTTAGGACTCTTTTTATCACCGACAGAAAACACAAGTTGACCGATTTTAACACGGCACAGAGAGACGCGGAGTGGGTTGAGTCTCTACGGTTCTCATGGTGGGTTTAAGAGCAGCCTCGAGAGCAGGGACTCCCAATAGTTGATCCACTTCCTGTGAGAGAGACACTCCGAGAAAACTATGGCAGAAGTAGCACCAGCCCCGGCCAAAGTGGCAAAGAAGAAGGCTCCCAAGCCGAAGAAGACCGGCCCCAGCGTCGGCGAGCTCATCGTGAAATATGTGTCCGCATCCAAGGAGCGGAGCGGCGTGTCCGTGGCCGCCATCAAGAAGCTCCTGGCTAACGGAGGCTACGATGTGGAGAAGAACAACAGCCGCGTCAAAGTCGCCATCAAGAGCCTGGTGGCTAAGGAGATTCTGACCCAGGTCAAGGGGATCGGAGCCTCCGGCTCGTTCAAGATGAACAAGAAGGCCGAGGAGAAGAAGACAAAGAAACCGGCAGCCAAGAAAGCCGCTCCTAAAGCAGTCAAGAAGCCCGCAGCTAAGAAACCTGCGGCGGCCAAGAAGCCCAAGGCATCGGCAGCTAAGAAGCCAGCAGCCGCCAAGAAGTCCCCGAAGAAGGTCACGAAACCCGCAGCTGTCAAGAAATCAGCCAAGAGCCCGAAGAAAGCCGCCAAGAGCCCCAAGAAGACAGTGAAAAAGGCCCCCGCAGCCAAGAAAGCCCCCGCAGCCAAGAAGGCCCCCGCTAAGAGGGTCGCCAAACCCAAAGCCAAGAAGGCAGCACCCAAGAAGAAGTGAGCTGTCAATCAGCGACCCCACTAAAACGGCTCTTTTAAGAGCCACCCACTTCAAACATAAGAGTTCATCCATACCTTTTATTTATTTTTTTTATTTTTTTACTTAAATGTTAATTGTATTTTTACCTTAATTAATTATTATTATTTGTTTTTGTTCTCTGAAAGCTCTCAACGGGTATGTGTATTATAGAGATCTGGGTACACCTTTATTCACTATTAATTAGAATTGCCTTAATTAAAAATCTTATTAGTGCATCATGGATGGGTGGAAATAAAACAGCCAGAACAAAAACTTCTTCATTGATTAATATTTGGTGATTTTAAAACTGAAATATTTAAACAAAAGTTCAGCAACCGAAGACATCTATAATGTATTAAATGATTTATATATATATAGATGGGATAAATTAATACCTGAGTGCCTTTGTGGCGCTCCCTGGTTAGTCTCTGTGAACAGACTTCCTGTGAGCTGTAGTTATGTGGATTTATTTATTTCACAGATTAACAATTATTATCAATAATAATACTTGTAGTTTTCTCTGAATCATTCACTGACAAGAACATTTTCCTGACTGGCAATGTCAAACACAATGATTTGGCAAACCAGATCCAACAATGTTATTAATCAGCACATGATTTAGTGACTGTTTTTAAAAACATGATGTTACCTCAGGAGGACAAAAACTATACATTTGCTCTGCAATAACCATTCTGAACAAAATCAGATGGACCCCCCTTTTAAGAAACTGTTTTCTAAAGTCCTCTTTTAATGTACTGCACTTTCTGTTTATTGTTCAAGTTTTGTCAAAGGAGAATTTCTGTCTCTGTTGGGACAGACAATAAAATCTATCTACACACCCAAAAGGACTGGTCCAATGTGTAACAAATTTGGTGTTCTTCAGGTGGTAGGAATGGTGTTTTTATTATCCCTTTCTTATCATTTTAGCCTTTAAATAAAAGGTTCATATTTAGAAAATATGTAGGCATACATGACAAAAAAAACCCAAGATGATGATAATGGGAGATGTTCAATTGAAGTGGTTTAAGAAACACAAATAACATTGGCATCAGTCTTATTTAGATAGAATATATAAACAAAAGCAAATATGTTAGGCTGTGTAAACTATTTAATGCCTTCTCTGACAGACAGAATAAACACTACATTGGACAAACTGTATAGATGTAGGCAAGTTTTGTTTTATCACGATTATGTTTGAATCACTATTAGAATTTGTAAATTTAAATCATTACCCACTATGAAGAGTACTAGGCTTTGAGTATTTTTTTTTTTTTTTTTAAATATAGTATTGGAGTGAAGTAAGTTCATAGTTGTATACAACCATAAATAATAAATCATAATTTGGTCAAGTGGTGAATTTTACACTACTACAACGTAACGTAAGTTAACAGGAAATGAGCACTTTTGATGTAAGGTGTGTGGCCCTTAAAAGGACCGTTTTTTTGGCTGATAAATCAGCAGGTTTACTTGGAGCTGGTGTACTTAGTGACGGCCTTGGTGCCCTCAGACACGGCGTGCTTAGCCAGCTCTCCGGGCAGCAGCAGGCGGACAGCGGTCTGGATCTCCCTGGAGGTGATGGTGGAGCGCTTGTTGTAATGAGCCAGACGGGAAGCCTCCCCGGCGATACGCTCAAAGATGTCACTCACGAAGGAGTTCATGATGCCCATGGCCTTAGAGGAGATCCCGGTGTCGGGATGAACCTGCTTCAGGACTTTATACACGTAGATGGCATAGCTCTCCTTCCTAGACTTTCTCCGTTTCTTGCCGGTTTTGGTGGTGGATTTAACGACGGCTTTCTTCGACCCTTTCTTGGGCGCGGGTTTTGTTACATCAGGCATTGTTGAATATATTTCGACACGAATGTTATGATAGCTTTCAGGTCGCTCAATATATACGGCCTTGATGCAAATGAAATGTGCTGTTGCTCGCACACGATTTGGCTAAGATTGGAGCGCGTGAGGCTGAGCAGCAGAGGGGGAAGGCTGAGCCCTACTCAGCAGTATAGACAATACATGGCCCTGTGTTACACCCTGAAAATCAAGGATCAAATCAACACAGAACCTGTTACAGACCAACATAACAGGAGGTTATAGACATGTTTTATAGACATACAAACTCTTACTCAGACATAATCAAATCTATTAAACTCTCTTCTCTAACTCACTGACAAATATTAGACTCTCTTTACTGATCACTAAAGTCAACACAATACCTTAAAAATGTGTACAAAATATCAACTCTATTTCAGTTTTAATAAATAAAGAACAAATACTAGATTACTCTCATTACAGGCATTTGGACCATTTTTAGTGTGTAACTGATTTGTATAATTACTTGACTAAATTATGGTTTCAATCAGTTCTTAAGAATTTGTCTTTGAAACCTTTCAGACCTCTACATCTTTCGACTCAATTATTTTACTTTTTTAACATGTCACGGTTTATTACTAAGATTACAACTGGTCACATTGACTTTTGAGACATATTCCTCTCTTACAAATGTTATAAATGCCAACTTTAAACTCATAAATAAAAGCAGAAAGAGGCAAATCATCTGTTCACTATAAGGTTTTAGAATAAACAATAGATCACTGAAGCTTGCTTTTCTGAATAGTTACTGTTCCTAAGAAGAATGATCAAAGCTGATTATCTGATAAGATTATATTAGAATATAATATAATGGAATAGATGTTTATTTCCATTTGCACAGGTACAGGGCAGTAGAGGTACATTGGAATTCTTGTGTGTTTCTCCTCAGCTTCTACAAAAAAGTTTAAATTATATATAAAATAGAATAGCATTATAAGAAAAAATAAAAAAAATAAAGCTATACACTGTATTAAAGCAAATATATAATACAAAAAAAATAACAAAGGGGAACACTGTACAATAAGATGAAAATATAAATATGTTTTCTTGTCTCTAACTTTCTACATCTCTTATTGCACCTGAAGTTATTGCACACATATTTTTCACATTATATTATTGCACTGTTTTTTGTTTTTAAGGTTATATTGCACACTTGTATTGCACTGTGAGGTGGTCAACTGTTCATTTAGTCTGTGAGGGGTGAAGTACTTCCTTCCAAGCTTAATGTCCTGTGCTACAAGTCTCACAGCAGCAGGAAAAAAGCTGTTGTGGTAGCGGGCCTTGTGGGTGGAGATGTTCTCTGGCCTGTGAAGTCGCAGGTTATAGCCCAAGTTCTTCCACCTGAACAGAGCATGAGCTGGGTGCTGTTTGTCCCTGAGGATGCTCTGTGCTTTTCCCCTGCAGCGCTGTGTGTACAGTGTGTCCGGAGGGGAGGTTGGAGCCAGTGATTCTCTCTGCAGTCTTTATGACCCGTTGAAGCGATTTCCTCTCAGACAGTGTGATGTTTCCGAACCACACAGTGATTCCACTGGTGAGGATGCTTTCAACGAATCCTGGGTGGGCCTGGGTGCATGTGACGGTTTCCTGCATGAGAGAGGTGTTGAAGATGTCTGTGTACACCTCTGCCAATTGTTCAGCACAGGCTTTTAGGACTCTTGGTGCCACTCCATCAGGGCCTGCAGCCTTGTGGGGGTTCACCTTCTTCAGAGCCCGAAGGACCTGTGTGTGTGTTACTTGTAGTGCAGTCTCCTCGGGGTTATGGGGGGACTTTGTAGGGGTGTTGCTGTTCTGTCTGTCAAATCTGCCATAGAAACTGTTCAGTGTGTCTGGTAGGGTGGAGTCACAAACTTCGACTCTGTTTGTGTTACTTCTTTAGTTGGAGATGGACTGTATTCCCTGCCACACTCCTCGTGTTGTTGTTCATGTAGCAGCTTTCAAGTTTTTGGGAGTATGTTCTTTTGGCAGCTCTGATGGACTTTTGTAGCTCGTACCGAGCATGCTTGTACTCCACGGTGTCCCCTGACTTGAAAGCTGCAGACCGGCTCCTGATCTTCATGCGTATATCTGCATTGGACCAGGGCTTTTGATTAGGAAACACATGAATGGTCCGGGAGGGAATACAAACGGAGGTGCACAAGTCTATATAGCTGCTTACAGTGTCCGTGTACTCATCAATGTTTGTTGTGGCTTCCTTAAAAATATTCATGTCTGTGGCCTCTAAGCAGCCCTGCAGTTCTGCCAGTGCACTGTCAGTCCACATCTTCACAGTTCTGACTGTGACTGGGTTTGCTTTTAGCTTTGTGGTGTAAGTAGGCTGTAGCAAGACTGCTAGGTGGTCAGACTTTCCAAAGTGAGGTTTGGGGACAGCAGCATAAGCATTTGTGATGTTACTTTAGCAGTGATCCAATGTGTTGTTACCCCTGGTGGGGAAGTTAATGAATTGGTGGAGTTTGGGGATACTTTTCCGGAGGTTACAGTGATTGAGGGAGCGGTCACACTGGCCATCCGTACCGTGCCCAAGCACGCTTCAACCCTAAAGTCCAGTTTGTTTGACCAGTGTGACCGCTCCGTATCGTGCTCAGGCACGATACACTTCGGAGAGGTGTGCTTCGGCACGGTACATTTCATGGACGAGCACAAGCACGCGGGTGCACAATGCTGACAGCCTTCATTCTGGAGAAATCCAGAGTTTCATGTCTGTATCTGACTAAAATGACACAATATAAGCCACAAAGTAGCTGTCATGTTCTCTGTGTTGTTCTCCAATGTCTCCAATGTATTTATTTTTTTATTTATTTATGGCTGTGTCTGATTAAAATGGCTTAAAATACGTTGTAAAGTCAGTAAAGTAGTTGTCATGCTCTCTGTGTTTTTCTCTGATGTGCAGATGCGGACTCGACTGCACGTCTCTTTCTCTCTCTCTCGTCCGCCTGTTTGTAAACTGAGCACGCTTCATAATAACATAAAGTGTGCATGTGTTGTATTATGACGTTATTTACAAGAGATAATCGTGCTTAAGCACGGTTAGTCCTGGCAAGTATGACCGTGGGCCGTGCCGGCCAGCGTAGGAATGGCGCAGCGGGGGGGCAATCGTGCTTGGGTACAGCACGGTACAGATGACCAGTGTGACCGCGCCCTAAAATCCCTCTGAGATAATAAAAGTAGCATCTGGGTATGAGTTCTCATGTCTAGAGATCATGTCGTGCAGTACTTTGAGTGCGTTATCCTCGTTAGCAGAGGGGGGGATATATATTGTACTCAGTATAATCCACTGCAGTTCTTTAGGTAGTTAAATGGTCTGCACTTTACGGTAATAAACTCCACGTCTTCAGTACATAACTGCGATATTACCGTGTTGTTGGTGCTCCAGGACTTTTTGACAAGAATCGCTGTCCCTCCCCCGTGGGTCTTGCCGCAGTCCGCAGCCTTGCGGTCAGCTCTAAAGAACGTGTTGCCTGCCGGTGTTATGGCTTCATCGGAGTCCTGTCTCCGAGCCACGTTTCACAGAAACACAGCACAGAGAAGTCCTGAATGTACCTCTGCGTAGCCATCCTACTGAGAAGGTTGTCCACTTTATTTCCAAGCGACTGGACGCTGGCGAGAAGTATAGCCGGGAGGGTTAGCCTACCCTTGCTAACCAGGTGTTGGAGTCTTCGTTCAGCGCCTCGGGGTCTCAGGCTGCGGCATGGCCCTGCGTTGTTCCGGCATGAAGGTGTAGCTCCGGGAAGGAGTCGAGCAGTTTGGCGTTAAAATGTCCTTTGTGACTCATCTCACCGAGCTGTATCAGTGTCGCCCGATCATACTTAACACTAGCCCTAACGTACCGCACATTAAATGAAAAAAAAGAAAACAATAACGAAAACTACAAAAAACTTGACTCGGAGAGCTACGCTATGTTGCCCACAGGGGAGTGCCATCTTGGAATCTAATTATCAATTATCTTGGAATCTAATTATCAAGATCAAATTGAGGTCTCATGTTATGTTTTATTTGTTTCTAGTCAACCCAAAGACAATAGCAATCAGGAAATACACAATACAAATCAGAACAGAATAGATAAGGTAATCACATTAAAACAAATGTATACAACTGGAATATAAAGAAGTGAAATTAACTTTACAGGACAATGTTACTATTTTGGTCCATATTAAGAAAGGGGAAAAAACATATATTATTACATCTGTTGACCTCTGCTCAGGGCAAAGAAAAATAATCTTCATGGATGTACACTACACTGCCCCTCCTTCATTGCTGGTTATAAATATGTATGTTAGTAGTTGACGTTGTGATCTTTTTAACTGATGTGAATTCAACATCTGTAGTCCAATTTATAATCCTCTGTTGCAGCTTTCAAACCAGGTCAAATGTTTCCTTTATAGCATAGTTTGTCACACCAGGTGGCATGCAGGCTTAATTTCTGGTTGTGGGTTGAATTGTTTTGTTTCATAATTGGGAGTATTAGGCTAATAGGGTTGACTAAGGAGGATCCCCTTGACCTGAAAGATACGGCACAGTTTTCTGTGAAATGTAGAGAACAGCTAATTGAACTCAACTTTCCTGCAATAAATGCACAGAATGAGAAACAGGAATGAACCCATCACAGAGAAAATGACCAAATTATAGCTCAACATTTCTATCTTCTTTAGCTCAAATGCTCTGTAGTCGTTTACATTCATCTAGAACTGTTGTGAGGAGCTGGCTGCTGAGAGATAATAAGAAACAAACTTAATATTTGATGAACCTGAATGGATGACAGAAGCAGCTAGAGGCAGATTATGTCGTCACTTCAAGCTTTTAACAAACTGAGAACATGGAAGCTCACTTTTCTTGACAATGACTGGTTTCGATCTTTGTTATATGAATGATGATCAAACAGATTAAGATTAAAGATTATTTGATGCGTTTCTGATTTCTGTCAATGCTGTTGACTTTAAATTAAAGCTTTGCCATTTTGCCAACTCTGAGTAGATGTCAGAG